TCTCCTTCGCCTAAGCCCGCATACAAATCTCCACCACCACCATACGTGTACAGCTCCCCACCACCACCATATTACTCACCATCCCCTAAGCCTACATACAAATCTCCACCACCACCATATGTGTACAGCTCTCCACCACCACCATACTACTCACCTACTCCTAAGCCTACGTACAAATCTCCACCACCACCATATGTCTACAGCTCTCCACCACCACCATATTACTCGCCTTCCCCTAAGCCTACATACAAATCTCCACCACCACCATACGTTTACAATTCTCCACCACCACCATACTACTCACCTGCTCCTAAGCCCACATACAAATCTCCACCACCACCATACGTCTATAGTTCCCCACCACCATACTACTCGCCTTCTCCTAAGCCTACTTACAAATCTCCACCACCGCCATATGTGTATAGCTCTCCTCCCCCACCACCATATTACTCTCCTTCTCCAAAGGTTGAGTATAAATCTCCTCCAACACCATATGTCTACAGTTCTCCACCACCACCCACGTATTATTCTCCTTCTCCAAAGGTTGAATACAAATCTCCACCACCTCCATATGTCTACAACTCTCCACCTCCACCGGCGTATTACTCTCCATCTCCAAAGGTTGAGTACAAATCTCCTCCTCCACCATATGTCTACAACTCTCCACCTCCACCGGCTTATTCTCCATCTCCAAAGGTTGAGTACAAATCTCCTCCCCCACCATATGTTTACAGCTCTCCACCACCACCATCATACTCTCCTTCTCCAAAAACTGAATACAAATCTCCTCCTCCCCCACCCTCATATTACTAAATCGTTCTATTAAACTCATAAATAAGATCACCAAGTCTCATTTGATGTCCCGTCTTTTTTATTCTTCTTGGGTCTAGTCCATTTTATCTGATGTCAGATAAATTCTTTTGTTATTGAAATATCATTTGGATTATGTTTGTCTATCTTTCCTTTGTGTAAATGTTGTTTCAATCTTTATATGTATCAGTTGCAATTCTATACATTGTTTCTTTATCTCAAGAATATGACTTTACCTATTTAATACTCTCTCTCTTTTTTATTAATCCGAATTTTACAATTTGTTACAAAGAGATACAATTTTAGGTTTTTATGTATTAATTTTCTATTAGTTATTAATGATAAATTATAGATTTTAAGAAAATAGTTGAATATTATTGGTTTATAATTATGAAAAATTGTTAATCACAAAAAAATTTGTATACTTATAATCAGTTTTAAAATATTTTTTAGTATGTGTGAATTAATTAAAAATTAGATTGATTAGGGATATAAGGAGTATAATTAAAAATAAAACTAGAAATAATTTTTTTTTTAAAGTCAGTTTGAAAGTGACTACAAATATTATGATTTTGAAAACCTCACGCAGAGCTTCTGTTAGTGTGAGCTTCTAGTGAACGAACACTTTTCTTAGGAGGGGTTATTGGTTCATGGATTTATAAGGAATTAGAAATCCAAACAAAAATCATTTGTTATTCAATCATTGATTTTAAAATCTTAATTAAAATCATGTGTTATTGGTTCTATCATTTATAAATACTAGTTAAATTCCTATGTTATTCGTTTAGTCATTTGTTTTTGGATTTGAGAATCCAAATTATGTTTTAAATGGATTTGAATGGAATTGAAAGAGGAAAATAGAAGGATTCAAATCCATGGGTAAACACATGTTATTTCAAAATCCATATATCTTGATTTCATAATTAATAGAAAATTTCAAATTCTATATGGATTTACAAATTAATAAACCAATAACAAATTAGTTTAATAACAATTTGTATCATTTTCGATTCCACATGTCTAATATGTCGGCCCATTTTCGATTCTTGAGTCCAATTGCTCATCGCATGCATTCGTATTCCTGGTTTGTTATTCCGGAAGTTTCTGAAAATCTTCCAATGTAAATAAATTGGGAAACTTTTTTTTTCTTAATTAATTAGGTTAAGCCTATCTAAACTTCTTAAACCATGATTACTAAAATGGCAAGGCATAAGTTTACTGTATAATCTTACAACATTCGCAATTTCATCTTTTTGCTCTAGTGTATCTTTAGTATCTTGTATATCTTTATATATTAAATTTTTTAATATTACACGATAAGCCAATTCCATATAAATAGAAATACGTGTAGTATTTTCTTAGATTAAACAATATCTGGTAGTGGCAGGGTAACATGGTAGCTAGGTGGTTCTTCCACTAGGCTCACTGCAGTTTCTGATGAAGGTTCGTTCCTTTTATCATGTTTTAAGAGGACAATGACCTAATTATAACACAGTCAAGGTAGTTCTCGGGAGGGAGAAAAAAATTCTTCTGAAAACTCTCATGTTATAGTCAAAATGGATAAATGTGACTTGTCGGGATTCGGTGTTTTCAAGAGTAATATCGGGGTTAAAGTTCTGGCACTTAGTTGAAGTGATCGAAAGCCTAATATGTTGGTCAGTGTAAAAGTAAAAGAGAATAAAAGTCACTTCCCTAAGTGAGATTGAAACTCTCTTAGAGATGATTTTGATCATGATGAATTGAATCCAGTTGTTTAAGAAATGGATAGAAGAGGAATTTTAGAAGGGTCCTTTATCTATCAATTTTCCTGAGTGTGACAGGTGGTGGTGTATTTATGGGACTCAAGTTTTGTATAATGTTCTTGTATAACCAGGCCAAGAAAAGTTGTGTATTTGGGAATATCCTCTAGGTTGGGCTACTCTAAGCATGGAGACTATGATGTGTTGCCTCAATCTTTGTTTGTGGAGAGGTGTGTGCAGTTTTTTCCTCGGATTGTTTCATCCGTGACAAAGCGCGTTGTGCTCTTATTTGCTTGCGGAAATTCACCCCCAAAATATCATAAAATTCATTACAATTAATGTGTTAAACACATATAGTATCTCGTTATTATTATTATAGCTAAATCTCTTTTCCTATTATGTATATATAATCCATACAAAATATTCACTAATTTACTTCATAATGAATTATTTACGGCAGTATGCGGACCATCAGCTAGTTAGCTTTAAACGTGTTAATTTCTTCATGGAATCGATAAGACTTTAAGTATATGCAGTTTGCTTATAACCCCGGCCTTCTAATATAAGATTTTGTTGAACCAAAAGTGATTACGTACACTGATAAGTTTTTGAAACATATCATAAACATGTTTTCACATAGTCTGTTTTATGCATATGACCTGCATCTTATCGTGCATGATCTCAGAAACATATTAATTGGATATTTAGTAATGTGACAATAAGCCTATTAAAAAAAAGCTCCAAATGGTCACAGATATTTATTTATTTTTGAAAATAAAATGGTCACATGATAATATCAAACAAGTTTATCTATTTGTCTATTTGGCGACCTGTTTATTTGATTCGCTTGAGTTTCGTTCAATTCTGCAGGCTATCTTTCACCCGAAGCAACTAAACTATAGTATTAAATTATATATAAAATAACTTGTTAATATTATTGCTATAAATTGAACATTCAACTGCTTCTGAATCGGGCCATGATTAGCGATGAGGTACATGACAATGAAACATGCATGTTCCTCAAATTCCAATTGATAGTGGAAGAAAACAATACAATGCCCGACAAATTTGAAAATATAGATAAAAAAATGTTTAACAAAAGAAATAATATAAGAAAATGCCAAAATAGTGGTTTCTGAAGAAAATGTATGAGTTACGGCTATGTAGAACCAATGAAAAATAAAATAAGATATCTTAATAGTAACGGGAAATTCAACTGAAAACAAATTTTGATGAGGTTTTAGAGTTTGGATTCGAGTTGAGTTTTATTATACTTTACTAATTTTATTAAATTATAGACTATTTTCTCTAAGTTTTCTATTTTACACTAACTTTTCTGTTAATCTTCAGTAATTTATTGATGGTCTCTCTTATTGATAATTCCCTACTGAATATATGAGCGATATAGTTGACTAGTAGTGAGATGTATTTAGACACAAAACTGACTTTGAATATGAGAAGTGATTATATGTTTCTTTATAAACCAACAACAACCGTTCCGTTTTCTTTATCAAAAAAAAAACAACAACCTTTCCGTTCCATGCATGTAAAGCACTTATCTACAAAGGTTTGAATAGAAGACCTTTTTCTTACAAAAATAAAACTCATATCGTATGATTGGTAACTTTTAACGCAGCAAAGACTTTACCACGACGACCGTGGTTAATTTGGTTATCAATCTTTAAAGAGGGAAATTAATGGTGCCAAAAAAAAGGTATGGCAAAAACATTTTAGTGATTTATGAAAAATCAAAAAACAAAAAATATGCAATATTATATCAAAATTTGATATGAATATATATAAATATTTTTAATATTTGGTTGAAAAAATAATTTTTAGAATTTCTAATGCTATAAAATCCTCTCATTGTTTCTTCTTAAAATATGCCAAATTCAGAAAACGATTCAGCCTTATAATTATTTTTCGTCGAAATTAATTTATATTAATTAATAAGATCATTATACAAATATTCTGAGATCCAAGAGGGAAGATCAATACATTCATAGTAAAATTTAGAGTGTATATTTAAAATTTAGACAGCAAAATTGATCATTATTTAATGATTCTCAAAATTAGGCCATGTAATCATAGCTAGTATTCATCATTGACGAAAAAACAAAAGTAACTGAAAAAAAAAAGACGGATACAGACGTTGGTGTCTATTTACCTTTGTTCCCTCAAAATATGCTATTTTTGGTGGGTTTTTCTCTACCATGCAAAAAAGTTTTGTAATTTTTTTCAAATTTTCATTCTCTTTTTTTTTTCTAGCCCGAAAATTTATGTTTGAATAGCAAACCTTCCTTTTTTAGTTAGAAATAAATAAATAAAATTCTCCAATTTGTTAGGAATTTTTTTTCCTTCAAAAAAGACAAGCATACAATTCCGGGTAATGAGAAAATGTCACAGATCGTCGGCTATAAATAGAGAAGCTAGTAGAGAGCATCTTCTTATATCAACTAAACTTGTATTAATTTCCAAGTATCACTCTCTAAATCATCTTTCTCGAATTCACCTCCCAAGGTCCGTCTAGAAAACCAAAATCATTTCGTTTTGTTGTATAGATCATTCAGATGACCATGATCTCGATCTCTTTTTCTGTTTACTCGTCTACATGAAACAACTATTATAGTTTCAATATCCGTTGTTTTTATGTTAACTCCTTCATATTTTCCCTTTAACCTAATTCAAAATTAGCTTGTTTTCGATCTTGATCGCATCAACGCATGTTTTTTTATTTAATTGTTAAACCAAAATATCTCGACCAGTTTCTTGTATTTTTTTCTTTCTTAGAGTCTCTTAGGAATCTGACGTCTAATATTCAACTCAATCAGATAATCATTTAATTTATCCTTTATTTTTCACAATATTTTTATCTAAATTTTTCTTGCTTTTTGGTGTGTCATTGGAACGAAAAGAAATGTCGACAGAGTCGTACGAAGACGCCATTAAAAGACTCGGAGAGCTTCTCAGGTACACACACACGCGTACTCTCTTTCTCTCCCAATCAGATCCGACATATTGGATTTTACAAGTTGTGGGATGATCACAACTGTAGATCATTTAGCCACGCATGTACCTTGTACCTTGTGAAAACAATATTTATAAAAATAATATAATTTGGTTTCTAAAATTTTGTTTAACATGAAATGGTCAACTTTGCAGTAAGAAATCGGATCTCGGGAACGTGGCAGCTGCAAAGATCAAGAAGTTAACGGATGAGTTAGAGGGACTTGATTCCAACAAGTTAGATGCTGTAGAACGAATCAAATCCGGATTTATCCATTTCAAGACTAATAATTATGAGTACGTAAAGTTATATTCCTTATTCGCTTTTTTGTTTTTCCTTTTTCCGTATAGATCCGTCCATTTTAATGTTCTTATATTGTTATAATAAATCCACTTTTTTGACCTACTCATATAATAATTGTGCTTATAAAGTTAAAGAAACTTATTTATAATCTAGTTACTTAATCAAAGGGAGATTAAGACAGAAAATGTTTTTTAAAAATTAATTATGGATTGTTTTACATGTGTTTTGGTTAAATTAAAGTATTGAGTTTTGAATTTGATGTTTGCTCATTATATTATTTGGTTTCATCAATTTCCAGGAAGAATCCTACTTTGCACAATGCACTTGCCAAGAGCCAGAGCCCCAAGGTTTTGATTCTGCCAATTCACATCATTCTTTTTTCTCCTCTTACATTTCTAGTTTGACTTTTCTCTGATTGCCCCAAAAAGGGTGTAAAGATAGTAGAAAAGGCTTTTGATTTAGTAATGAATAAGGTACCTTTTTAAGCAAGCAATAGAAACCCTAAAATTATAAACGAGGATTAAGACTTGAAAGATATCCTTTTAATTAATTCAATGAGAATTTATTTATTATTATTGCAGTTTCTAGTGTTTGCTTGTGCGGATTCACGAGTTAGCCCTTCACACATCTTGAATTTCCAACTTGGGGAAGCCTTTATCGTTAGAAACATTGCAAACATGGTGCCACCTTATGACAAGGTTCGTCCAAACAAAAATGAATTTCAAATCACTCTTATATTCTTTACATTAACATCCCAAGGTGTTATTAGTGATTAAACAACTAGCTTTTGTCTCTGGAAACTTGCAGACAAAACACTCTAATGTTGGTGCGGCCCTTGAATATCCAATTACAGTCCTCAACGTACGTACTAATTAATTAATAGCTATCTTCTTTAGCATCAATGATTAATCATTAGAGATGATTTATCTTGTCTTTGCTCCTTGGAGTGTACGTATGTGGTCGACATAAAGATGCTTAGTAAAAAGTTGATGTGACCTAGTTTTAACCCTAGAAAGTTTTAACCCTAAAAGAAAGTCCCTAAAAGTCTTCACCAAAACAATAATTGAGCCTTGAAGATAATGTAATGTTGTCATTATCATTTATCAGGTGGAGAACATTCTGGTGATTGGTCACAGCTGTTGTGGTGGAATAAAGGGACTTATGGCCATTGAAGATGATACAGCTCCCACTAAGACGTATTAATCTCAAAGGCTAATTTAATCAACCATGAGTTTCTTGCGATTAGTCTCACTAACTTGATTGAAATTCTTGGAATTGGCAGAGAGTTCATAGAAAACTGGATCCAGATCTGTGCACCGGCCAAGAACAGGATCAAGCAGGAATGCAAAGACCTAAGCTTTGAAGATCAGTGCACCAACTGTGAGAAGGTACGTAACAAGACAAGACAAGACACAATCTTTTCTCTGTTTTCTGTCTTACTTTCAAAGTAGAAAACTGAGATTGTCTCTCCTGTGTGAGCAGGAAGCCGTGAACGTGTCCTTGGGGAATCTGTTGTCTTACCCATTCGTGAGAGAAAGAGTGGTGAAGAACAAGCTTGCCATAAGAGGAGCTCACTATGATTTTGTGAAAGGAACGTTTGATCTTTGGGAACTAGACTTCAAGACCACCCCTGCCTTTGGCTTGTCTTAAAAGTTTTGAACTCAAACCTTTTCTCTATGTTTCGTCTAAGTGTGTTCTTATAATCTTCTTCTGTTGCTTCTGTAATGTCATCTTTGCTACTTCTGTTTCAAAAGAAATGAATAAAGCTTTAAAGAGCATTTATTTTTATTTCCACCCTCATTGAGTTTACAAAGAGATTATAACATTTTTGACACTTGCTTAGGTTATACACATAGATAAGGCTACTACACTCAAGCCAGTCCCTCAAGGGATGGGATAAACAACGACCTTCCCCGTGGCATGGTTTGTTTCTAAGTATGAGAAAGCATCAGCGACGCGTGAGAATGGGAACGGTCCTTTGGGATCAACAACAGGCTTCACTTTTCCACTCTCAATGTATGGGTTCAGTTTCTTCAAAACATCGCCGTTAGATGTCACAACGAATCGAAAACCAGGCGGCGTGACAGCTCCGGTCAAGGCCACAACTTTTCCTCCTTCCTTAATCACCTTCACTGCCTTATCACACATCCCTTTGGACAACACCAAAGATGATTTAATCAAAACTTTTTGTTCCAAGAAATTAGATGTGTTAATAGTGTTCTGTTTTGTTTGCTTACCAATGGCGTCAAAGACAACATCGTACTTGTCAGGCAAGTCTTCTATGTTCTCCTTTGTGTAATCAATAGCTAAATCAGCACCTAAGCTTCTCACTAGCTCTAGCTTCCCTGTACTCGCTGTTGCAGCCACTTTTGAAGCTCCATACACATGCTTCGCCAACTGTATCGAACACGAATATGAGGAATCAATCAACAACCATTAATCTCTGATTCTTAGATTACAAGAAACCAAAAATGTTAACCTGAATCACAAGGCTCCCTACTCCTCCAGCCCCATTAAGAACAAGAATCGACTTTCCGGCAGAGAATTCAGTCCTAACCAGACCTTCATCGGCTGTTTCTATCGCCAACGGAAGCCCTGCGGCTTGCGCAAAATCGATGTTTTTAGGTTTTAACGCTAACAACTTCTCTTCCACCGCCGTGTACTCCGCTAAAGAACCAAATTGCTTCGGACCTTCCAATGCTTTCTCGCTCACGTCAGCGTAAACTTCATCTCCTTCTTTGAAATCTTTCACCGCACTCCCAACTTTCACCACTACTCCGGCAACATCGTACCCCGGAACAGTCTACATCGAAAGATTCAAAATGTTAAAGAATCATAAATCTTTTCTTATTAGAAGGATTTCAAATAGAGAGGGAAATTTGAATTTACCGGGAGAGGCGAATCGGTGGCTTTGAATTTCCCTTGCCGTCTCTTAGCGTCAACGGGATTAAGAGCCGCCGCAACAACTTTAATCAAAACCTGATCTTCTTTAACCTCCGGCACAGCAATGTTACTCTCCAGCTTCAAAACATCAACTCCGCCGTAGTCACTATACACCCACGCCTTCATCTCTTTCGGAATCGTCGCATCCGCCGTGAAATTGACCGCCGCTGAAGCACTCTGAGAGCTCGCAGAGATTCTCAAGAACTTCTTGCTGATTTTTTGCACGGAAGATCCGAATCTAACTCCGTTTAATCGGAAAACCGGAGATTTTGTTGTGAGAGAACAATGATGAAGAAGAGGCGTCGCACGGCGGAGTACAGGAGTTGTGGCGGTGGTTGTTGCAAGCGCTGTGTTCATTTTCAGTTTGCACCTGATCTAGTGTCCAAAGGGCTTATCTCTTTCGCTTTCCTCTGTTTTAAAACACTCTGTTTCGTGGCTTTCTTTGATTGGTTGCTATTTTCTTGTGGTTATCATTTTAATGTTTATATTCACAAAATTGTGGCCCATAATCGTTTTTGGTCTGGAGCTGATTTTGTGATTCATCTGTTGTTTCATTTCTTCTGGAACAATCACAAACACTTTTTTGATTGTGGGATCAAAGAAATCAACAAAAATTGAACGTAGAGATATGAAATGGGCTACAATTTAATTGGGCTTTAATAATTGGCCCAATAGTAGAGAGACCAGTCCTAGAGCCGATCAATATGATTTAGGCACGATGAGATTGACCAATGACCATAGAAACCGCGCACAACAATGCACGATGTCTACACGTGGCGGGTTTTGATTGGGTCATTGGTCGAGCTTATAGATCCACCGTCCATTTCCCAGAACTAGAAGAAAACAAGAAAGGAGAAAACTTTCTCAGAGCTCGATTGTTTTTGGAAAACGTCAATCAGATCTTTCGTTCGTCTCCTCCGCCTTCGATTATCCAAAGGTAAGCTCTTTGTAATAAAAACCCTAATTTTCTGAGAATTTGAATTTGAGTTTGAATCGATTCTACTCATACATTGCAGTTCCTGTGTTGTCTTGATTTCAAAAACTGTCCAGCTTCAAATCTTGTAATTATGCATGTACTATGTTTAATGCTTGAATTCGATTTCTCTTTGTTTTTTTCGTGTTTCTGCTCTCTTTTCTTCTGGGAATGTGCCTTCATTGTTATAATCTGTCGAAAGTTACCTCCTTTACCAGAAATTTCAAAAGGCTAATTGGATTTAGATACTTTTTGTATCTTGTCCTGGGAATGTGTTTTCATTGATCTGCTTTCTAATTCTTGTGTCTTGTTGTTCAATTTTATGAATTAAATCTTATGATTCAGCATTTGCTTTAGAGGATTTGATCAATTTTAATTCGTAAAGAAGTCATATGATTGTTTTTTCAATGCAGGCTCTTGTTATTGAAAATGGCAGATACCGCCAAAGCCGGGTTGAAAAAGCCAGCTTTCACTAAGGTTGATCAGCTGCGTCCTGGGACTAGTGGACACAATGTCAATGTGAAGATCGTTAGCACGAAGATGGTGTTACAGAAAGGTCGTGCTGATGGTCCTCAGGCTCGCCAGTTGCGGATTTCTGAATGTATTGTTGGAGACGAGACAGGAGTTATCGTCTTTACTGCAAGAAATGACCAAGGTACTTACTTATTTCAATCAGTCATTGAATTCTAGTTATGTTTGTGATCCTTAGCTAGTGAATAATTGAGTTTTGACATGTTTTATTTGTTTTGGTTTTGTGTGTAGTGGACCTAATGAAAGAGGGATCAACTGTAACTCTACGCAATGCGAAAATCGACATGTATAAAGGATCAATGAGGCTAGCTGTAGACAAGTGGGGTCGTGTTGAAGTCACAGAGCCTGCGAGCTTCAAAGTGAAAGAAGACACCAACATGTCCCTTATCGAGTATGAGCTCGTAAATGTTGTTGAATGAGTCACACAATCATCGAAATACCGCTAGGAGAAACGCCCTCAATAATAAACAAGTCAAATCGTAACCGTTTATGTTGGCATCAAGAAAAGAGTTAAACCCTGATCAGCTGATATCTTGCACTAAGCTATGTAAGAGTGATAGCTCTAAAAGTTGAATGCAGAGCTTTTGCCTTAGGTTATGACTTTGTGACACCTTTTGTTTTGTAATGTCATCATACATTTGTGCTACATTGTTACTCTCTTTATCTTTGCCTCGTTTCAAAAATGCATATTCCTATTGAAGAAACCAGAAACTGCAAGCCTCTATTGATCAACGACCATAATGATTATCTTTCTATTTTGGGATTATATATAAAAATAGAAGTTTAACCAAAATGCAGCTCGAGATGGGCTTGAATCACTTCGTTAATGATTGTGGAGAAGAAATGTTGTCGTGTGAAGTGATGGGACTTCGAATGTGTGTAATAAAGGAGGCTGGAGCGTCATCATTGCGTCATGACTGATGGCTTCTTGGTTTCCTTTGTCTTTTAATTTGTTTATTGTCTTTACATTTTATAATCTTGTCACATTTCTTTACTTATAGGTAGTAGAGAAAAAGTTTCTGCCAACAAAAAGTAATGTATCTTTTCATGAGTGTTAAGTGGACAATGTATAGTGCGTTTAATCCTTTTAGAGCTGTTTCCTTATCCTTCTCTTAAACAAAATTTGATAGGAAATTTTTTGGAGTAATACTATTTATCCAGAGAATTTCATGGAGGGAAAAAAGTGACATTTCGGTTTTGAAAAATAAAATTTGGTGAATTGATCAATATATATGGTTTGTAATAGTGCTGTAGAATATCACATTCGTTTCCGAGAACAGTAACACATTTTTTTTTACAAAAAATAATTACACTTGAAGTTTGAAAAAATAATGTATTACTGTTCTACTTACAAACTAATCAATGCCGTAATTATTTACATTCTACACAAATCAAACTATATATAAGCTTGGGTTCGAACTTGGAGATATTACACACACATTTGCATCGATAACCCACCAACACTTTCTCTACCCCCATCGAATGTTTCCTCTTCTCTCTCAACAAATATGCTCAAACAATTTGTTTTTCTCCTACCTTTCTTGTCAAGTCTCTTCCATGTAAGTCAAACCTAAATCGTTCATTTGAATCCGTTTGTTTCATTACTCTAGAATCCATTCACTTCAGATTTTATTGAAATTTGTTTCCGTTTATTCTTTTGATCATGTTTTGATCAGTTTTGTAACTTCCACAATGCAGGTAGTTATGGCCGGAGGAGAACGGTTGACTAACGGCGGTTTTTCGCCGGAGATGAATCCATTCACACCAAAAGCGTCTTTAGTACGTTACTGGAACAAACAGATCCAACACCAATCACCAGGCTCAGCCTTTCTCCTCTCCAAGGCTTCGCCGTTAACCGCCGTCGCCTCCGCCACTTTCGCCAAACTCGCCTCTGAAAACGCTCTTCCGGATCGCCTACCGGACTTTTGCTCCGCGGCAAACCTCTTCTGTTTTCCAGATTTAGGTCCAACCCTCGAGAAACACAGCAACGACGTCAAATTCTCTGTTTACGATCAACGAAACTTCACCAACTACGGCGGCACGATTCACCCCGGCGGTGCTGACTCGTTCAAAAAATATTCACAAAACGGTAACGTAGTAACCGACTCTTTCCGGCGATACAGCCGCGACGCCGCCGGTCACGAAGATAAATTCACAAGCTACGCCGATAACAGCAACGTCGTTGAGGAAAACTTTAATTCATACGGCACATCAGCCACCGGCGGCTCCGGCGATTTTAAAAACTATCAATCCGGTGTCAACAATCCGACAAGTCGTTTCAAGGCGTATTCCGACGACGGAAACGGCCGGGCTCAGACGTTTAAGACCTATACGCACGAAGCCAACGCCGGACCGGGTCAATCTTTCACCAGTTACGGCAAAAACGGTAACGGAGCTCCGAACGAGTTCTCTTCTTACGGCGTCTCCTCTAACGTTATTGGATCGGATTTCTCAAAATACGGCGAGAACGGTAACGCAGCCAACGACACTTTCAAAGGCTACGGTGGTGACGGCAATGTTCCTCGGAATAACTTCAAAAGTTACGGTGCATCTGGAAACGCTGCCGTTGATACATTCTTGAATTATAGAGACAAGGCTAACGTCGGCGACGATTCGTTCTCGTCGTATGCCAAGAACTCAAACTTCGAGAAGGTCGATTTCGTGAATTACGGCAAATCTATTAATCCCGGTTCGGAATCGTTTACCGGTTATGGTAAAGGAGCTGAGGGAAACAAAATTGATTTCAAAACGTATACTCAGAACTCCACGTTTAAGGACTACGCGAAAACCGGAGTCGAATTTGCGAAATACAACCAGAGTAGACTAGGTGGTGGCAAAACTGTGAATAAGTGGGTGGAGCCTGGCAAGTTCTTTAGAGAATCGATGCTTAAAGAAGGTAAGTTGATTTGGATGCCTGACATTAAGGATAAAATGCCGAAAAGGTCGTTTCTGCCTCGTAGCATTGTCTCAAAATTACCGTTTTTGAGATCAAAAATCGCGGAAATCAAGCGTGTTTTCCACGCTAACGATAACTCAACAATGGAAGGGATAATTACTGATGCGGTAACGGAATGTGAGAGATCGCCTACAGTTGGTGAGACTAAACGATGTGTCGGATCAGCGGAGGATATGATCGATTTCGCAACATCCGTGCTTGGTCGAAGTGTGGTACTCCGGACTACAGAGAGTGTAGCCGGATCAAAGGAAAAAGTCATGATTGGAAAAGTCAAAGGAATCAACGGTGGAAGAGTGACGAAATCAGTGTCGTGTCATCAAAGTTTGTACCCTTACTTACTCTACTACTGTCACTCTGTGCCTAAAGTTCGAGTCTACGAATCTGATCTTTTGGATCCCAAGAGTAAAGCCAAGATCAACCATGGTATTGCTATATGTCACATGGACACATCAGCTTGGGGTGCGAACCATGGAGCCTTCATGTCGCTTGGATCCCGGCCCGGTCAGATTGAGGTTTGCCATTGGATCTTTGAGAATGATATGAATTGGGCTATCGCCGATTAACCATGTCGTAGCAAATGAATAATGAATGTTAATCGTTTGTATCTTTATATTTCAGTTAAATAAATATGTAAACATTCTAAAGCTAAGGAAGGTAAAAAAAAATTGCGGTAGAATGTATATTTTCTAAAAATTAATGAATTTAACTATGCATTTTAAGGTGTGGGAGTTTAAACGATACCATATCTTAACCTTAAGAAATCAGGATACCATATCTTAGTCCGGTCCAACCGATCATATCATCCTAGTTACGGTGACCATGTTTCTTTGTCTGGAAGTGTAAGAGTGACCTTACTGAAACACAGTTCCAACATTCAGGGAAATGTTATTGATACGAGAATATCTCAATGAAGTAAAGGAGAAGTGATGCAATGGAACATGGGGGAGGCAAAAGCTTATTTAATGAAGATTCACTGAACTTTAGTGAGATTTTTTTTGGGGACAAACAACAAGTTATGCAGCCTATAAAGGCATGTAGCTTAGTGACTGGCAAGGTCCTCCTCCAATTTGACTTATCATTTTATCTTTGTTACTTTTTTTTTTTGTTCGACATGAATAGATTACTGGTTTAACTGGTGAACATGTAGAGTGAAGAATAAATTGTCTCAATCTCGTTAGAAAACACCACTTCATGATCATCACAACAACTATTACTTAACCAATAGATTGTAATATGTACTAAAAAAATTTCGTAAACATTTCCCATATGCAACATAATTTCACTCACAATCGTCTTTGCAAATATGGAATCTAAGAGCAACAGCAAAATATAAAAAGCATAATATAAAGCTCATAAAAGAGCAACCCAAATATAAAGCATAATCATTGCCAGAGCAAGAGAACACCATCCATCTCACCAAAAAAAAGAGAACACGATCCAAAAGCAAGGAAATATTTAAAACTCAAAGATATTAGTATCCAAGTGATTTTATTTGTAGGAATCAAAAACCATTTATATAAATGACTTCTCCTACCGTCACCGGTTCCATTTGATCACTCCGCATGTCTGCGAGTCGCGTAATTCCAAGATCGCATCTGGGAGTAAAGCTCTGTCCCCATACTCTCGTCCGCCAAGGCTTGTCCCGGGTGAATACGGAAAGGGCCAATAGGGCCTCTAGGGTCTCTTGGACCGAAACGGTAGAAATGGTCTCTTGGGCTGAAACGGTCGAAAGGGTCTCTTGGGCCAAGACGGTCAAAAGGGTATCGAGGGTCTCCACGGTCACGAATTATCGGAGGAAATCGAGTGTTGCTCTTTTTTATGGGAGGGTTTCGTCTTGCTAGGAGACTGAGTCGTTTTTCTCTCCAAAAAGAAGCAAATTTACGCTTCCAATCAACTTTTGCTGTTAAAAATTTCCAAAGACAATCCTTACCTTCTTCCAAGCATTTCTGTTTCCACAAATCATTGTCTGATGCGAGATACCTCATTTCTGTACAAACACAAGCCATATTTCCAATACTCACACCAGAAAGCGACTCTAGTATCTTCAGCTTTAGCTCTGTCGGTAGGAGCATCAGACAAGGTGGAGATTCCAAGCCAGCCTTATCACAAAGACCAATCCACAACGGGATAACAAGATCATCTTTTACCATTCTCCACAACATGAACACTTCGCGGTAGTAGCTTGAAGAGCCTTGTTTTTCAAACTTCAAAGTATCCACAACCGAATCAATAACGGGCAAAAACCTACGCTTATCAAGATAAGTCATGTGCACTCGCCCACCATGCCCACCTAAAGTTCCGTAAACTACAAGTCTAGGGCCTAGGTTCTGAAACCGCACAGTAACGGACTCGATTGTATTGGTATCCTTACGGGTAATCAGCTCAGGCAGAGTATACCTTAAAGATACAGAGAGTAACTCCTTTGAAAAGCTAAACTTATCAGAGCCATGATCCAACAGCACGAATCCAGATTCTAACATAACGGCATGTACTGACAAAGCCAAAGCAGTTAAGTCACTGGTATCACCACATTTCTCAAGCAATACATTTTTCAAGAAGAATGGTATGCTTAACCTTTTGCTTTTAGCGGCAGCGAGCTCCACAACATCCATTGGCACTGGACCCTCCATGGAATCGTGAACAACCGCCTTGTTCCTCTCAGATTGTGAACCTAGGGTTTCACAATCTCCCAATTTCCAGTTCGAAGATTTGCCGCTATTAATTGATGCAGCAAAAGAAGAGTGATCGAGAGAGTAGTAAATTAGGTCACCGGATGTTACACCAAGAGATCGGAGCGTATCCTCCGGCGAAGGCACGAGGAGCTCTTCTTTACGATTAAGTGATAGATGAACGGAGGATGGCGCCGTTGGATTGATCAGTTGCCGGAGATCATGGAGAGTGTCTGTATCAGCCAATTCAAGGTTTAGGGTTTCTCTCGTCTCGTGAAGTCTTAAGCGTAGCTTCATTCTCGCTGAACTCTGTTATGATCTTCTTTCGTCGACACAAAATAAAAATCTTTTAAAAATCATCAAAAGTGTAGAGTACACATATATTGGGCGGGTAGTTTTAGGCCCATTATTAGCAATTTAAACTATATGTGTCCTTGGTGGGTACTTACCATCCAACCCGACCCGATTAGAAATTTGAAATGTTCTCTCAATGGAAGGTTAGATGGCTGATGAGAGTGAGAGACATACATGGTTATTGGTTGGCCTACGGTGCGAGAAGAGTTCTACAATTCTAATCATCCATTATGAGAGAAGTTGTTCCGCTTTGAAGGTCAGAAAATCCGGTATCTGGCGTGTTGATGTTAAGACTTTATGCATTCTGTTTCATAAAAAGTACAAATGTGGAAATCATTAATTGGTGCAAGAACTCCATAATAGTTAATATCACACAGTGGACGTTAAAAGACTCTTTGATAAATATGGGTGATTCAGTTTACTGCTAATTACTGGTGTTGAGTTAGAATTCTATGAAAATTTTAATATCGAGATGGACCGATAAAAACAGTCACTTTTTTTTTTTTTTTTTTTTTTTTTTTTTTTTTTTTTTTTTTTTTTTTTTTTTTTAAAAAAAAAACAGTCACTTGAGAGGGTGTATAATGTATTAGGATCCTACATACTAGGAAATTAGGAGTTCAAAGTAATATATATAAGAAACATGAACAAATTCACTGTCTAAAAAGGGACAATGCAACTCTCTTAATTACAAGGGACAATGCAACTCTCTTATTTAAAAGAGACAATGCAACTCTCTTATTCAAACTTTATGAATGTAAGACATCCCAACATATTTTGCTATGCACATATTTGGAATTTGTTGGAATGTTCAATGAGCCGACAACATTCACATGTCTTTTTATGTTCCATGAAGTTATTGTTGCTTTAGCAATCATCAGATATATAGTCATGTAGTCTACATGATGTAAAAAAAAAAAAAAAACAAGTTATGTCTAGTCTTGTAAGATGTGTTAGCATTTTATTGTTACTTTTTTTTAGTAATGGATGTTGTAAAAATGTACGAAAATTCGTTTCAATCTCTTTAGAAACCACCACTTCAACTTTTGACATAAACTAAAATTGCTTTATCATAAACTTTCGTAAGCATGTCCCATATGCAACATCACAATCGGCTTGAAAATATGAATCCTAAGAGTAATAAAAATAAACACAAAATATAAGAAGCCATGTTATATATCGGGTGGTCACAATAACTCATAAGAGAGCAACCATGTAACATAATCATGGCAAGAAGAAGAGAAAATCATTCAAAACAAAGAAACATTTAAATATCAAACATATCAGTATCCTCCCAATTTATTTGCTGATATCGGAAAAGCCATATACACCTACTTCTCCTACCTTCAAAAGATTCACAAGTTCCATTTTCTCACCCGGTTTGTTTGCTAGTTGAGTCCCCCAAGGTTGCATCTGAGAGTAAACTGCTGTCCCCATGTTCGTCCTCCAAGCCCACGTGCCGGTTGTCCTGGGTGAATACCGATAGATCCATGCAAGCGATCCCCATTAAACCATGTGAAAGGAGGGTCTCCAATGATTCGAGGGAATCGTATGGTGCTTCTTCCCATGGAAATGTTCCGTCTTCCAAGCTGGTTTTCCCTCCAAAAAGTAGCACTAGCAGCAGCAAGCTGGTTTTGCCTCCAAAAAGTAGCAAATCTCGCCTTCCAATTAACTGAATCACCCGCTTCTGTGACAACAAAATTATCAACTTCTTCCAAGCATTTCTGTTTCCACAAGTCATTGTCTGATGTCAGATACCTCATTTCTGTACAAACACAAGCCATATTTCCAACACTCACACCAGGAAGCAACTCTAGTATCTTCAGCTTTAGCTCTGATGGTAAGCGCATCAAGCACGGTGGAGGTTCCAAGCCAGCTTTATCGCAAATACCAATCAACAACGGGATAACAAGACAATCCTTAACCATTCTCCAGAACATGAACACTTCACGATAGATGCTCGAAGAGCCTTCTTCATCAGATTTCGAAGTATCCATAACCAAATCGATAACGAGCACAAACCTACGCTTATCAAGATTCATATGCACTCGCCCACTCGACCCACCTACAGTTCCGTAAACTACAACCACAGGGCCTAAGTTCTGAAACTTCACAGTAACTGACTCGATCTTATTGGTATCCTCAGACTTAATTAGCTCAGGTAGAGTATACCTTAAGGATACAGTAAGTAACTCCTTTGAAAAGTTAAACCTATCAGAGCCAGAATCGAAAAGCACGAATCCAGATTCTAACATAACGGCATGTACTGACAAAGCCAAAGTAGTCAATTCACTAGTATCACCACATTTCTCAAGCAATATGTTTTTCAAGAAGAATGGTTCACTTAACCTCTTGCTTCCAGCGGCAGCGAGCTCCATGTCAAGCTGCTCAACATCCATCGGCTCTGGATCCTCCATACCCGAATTTTCCCCCTTGGATCCTTCCGCTGGATCTTCTACGCCGGAATTCGGATTAGAATCAACCTCTGCGAATCCAATACCCATGGATTCATGAACAATCGCCTGATTACTCTCTGATTGAGGAGCTAGGGTTTCATAATCTCTCAATTCCCAACCCGAAGATTCGCCAGCCTCAAGAGAGTAGTAAATTAGGTCACCGGATATTAAACCAAGAGATCGGAGCGTATCCTCCGGCGAAGGTGTGATGAGCTCGTCTTTACGATTAAGCGATAGATGAACGGAGGAAGGCGCCGTGGGATTGATCCGTCGCCGGAGATCATGGAGAGTGTCTGCATCGGCCAATTCAAGTTTTAGGGTTTCTCTCGTCTCGTGATGTCTCAACCGCAGCTTCATTCTCGGAACTGTTACGAACTTGTGATCTTCGACACGAAATGTACAGTCATGATATATCTCGCGTACAGAGAAAGGCTGAGGCGGTTACCGGTTATGGGCCATCTTTGGGCCCATAAATAACTTCTTATATTACATGGGCTTTTGGTGGGTAACATACCATCGAACCCGATTATAAATTGGAATGTCTCAACGGAAGAAGATTGGTGAGACATCTCAAAAAACATGAAGTCATTTGACCAAATGGTTCACGAGTCTCTGTTATACATGGTTTACCAATTGCACAACCACTAACCAAATTCGGCTATAGCATTTGCAACACCGTTGTAACATAGTCATCAATGTTCAACATTGTAGCTCGAACTAAGAAAACGATATTGTTCTATCGATATTTTGTAGTTTGTGTGATTGTTTCTGATTATGAGAGATGCAAATACAAACCAATGCAAATACTTTCTATTGGTTTGTTCTCCCTTTGGGCTTTGGTTGGGTGTGCTCTTTTGGGCCAAAAGGCTGGTTTCCTTTTCCGAGTGTCTTGCTCTTCTTTTTTCACCTTCTTTGGGCCTGCGTGCCTTGTTGGGCTTTTGCCATGTATGTTGGGCCTGCGTGCCTTTGTCGGCTTTGGCCTTGTATGCTGGGCCTGCGTGCTCTTTTTTCGGGCTGTTCAGCCTTGTATCTTGCTCTCTTTTTATTAATGGAAATTTAAAGTAAAAAAAAAAAAAAAAAAAAAAAAAAAAAAAAAAAAAAAAAATACTAGCGTCGATCTGATTTTGGCATATAAATAAAATTTTACATTTGTGATCAAATAAAGTACATCAACTTTGCTTACTTGAAATCAACTCTTCTTCAAATGATCATTTATTTACAACAATTCATATCTTTAAAGATAATAAATAAATAGAAATCAATTCCTATAAATCTTAAAGACTAGTAATAAATAGCTGTGGACATTTTTACTTTTCCATATATATATTTTTCATTACAAATGATAACTATTTTGAAAAATGGATCATAAATACTCACTACTTTGCTTACCTACCATTTTTTAAAATGAGTTGGCGAATCCATATAGGCACATAGACATAAAACTAACACAATTTCACCATTCAACATATTTTTGCAGATTTTGACTGATACCAATAACGAAATTAAATGTTTTAAATATAGTTGACAAATAGAAAAAAAAACTAGAAAATATATGGTTCATTTGTTATTGGATTAGCGTAAGATGCGTACAATAAAACAAGAAGATCCCTCCAGATCAAATATAAAGTATACAAATCAAAAAAATAAATTACGAATACGAATACGTACACAAAGACGGAAAGACCCACCACCAAATTCGACCGTTGCTCACAACGTTCCAAACAAAAAAAAATCCCCAATTTTTACTTCTTTATTCAAAAAAAGTTTCAATTTTTATTTTCAATCTTCCCATTCCTCTTTCTTCTTCAAGTACACTTACTTACCGTTGGATCTCTCCGACTAAGTAGAAAAAAAAAACCTAAATTCTTCAATCACGCAATTCATTTCTTCCCGATCAAAACCCATTTCTTGAATTTCTGTGAATTTCTCATCTGAATCGCAAATTCTCGATCTTGAATTCAACAACAATGGCGGCTTTAGCCCCCGGAATCCTTCAAAAGCTAATCGACGGTATGAAAACCGGAGTTAAACCCACCGGAGAACACAGAAGCTCTTTATTACAAGTCACAGATATCGTCCCCGTTGATCTTGACGAGAAGAATCTTTTACCCAAACAAGGCTTCTTCATAAAAGTCTCTGATTCTTCTCACTCAATCTACGTTAGTCTTCCTTCTGATCAAGACGACGACGTTCTCAGCAACAAGATGCAGTTAGGTCAGTTTATCTACGTTGATCGGCTTGATCCAGGGACACCTGTTCCGATCATCAAAGGTGCTAGACCGATTCCGGGACGACATCCGTTGCTTGGAACTCCTGAGCCATTGATGAGTACAAGAGGAAAGATTGAGAAAGAGTCTGGGACGAGACCGAGAAGAGGTTCTTGGGGTCAAAATGGTGATGTTTCGTCTCCGTTTGTGTTAAAGCCTGCACCTTTGGATTTTGATCAGTGTACGCCAGCGAAACATAGACTTGGTACGGGGAGATTTATGGCGGGGTCTCCGGTGGTTATGACTAGAGGGAGATCACCTGGTGGTGTTAGGTGTTCTTATGGCGGAGGGCTTTTGTCGAAAATGGTGGATCTTAAAGGAGAAAGTCCTGCTGCGATGATGAGGAAGAGCTGTGTTGTTCCGCCGAGTTCGAAGTTTCCGAGAAGTAGAAGTGTTTGCGATAGAGAGATGATGGTGAAGAACTCTGTTTCTTCTGTTCTTCTTAGTCCTTTTAAATCCTCTGTAGGTACATTTTGCTCTGTGTTTTCTCTATTGGCTTAAGCTTAGAGGGTTTTGTGGAGAGAGTTAACAGTGGCTTAAAAATCTTGATTTTGCAGGCAAAGAAAAGCGATTCACCTCCTCCGAGTATGCATACTAGAAGAGCAACAGCAGCTGCTTTGTTGGAAGATGAAAGAGAGGCTCCAAAGTCTACCTCAAAGCTGGCTTCTCCAAAGCATGAATCTAAGTTTAGTAAGTTGGAAAAACCAGAGAAGAGTTTGAGTCTACCTGGAAGACTTAGCACACTGAGCAAGGTTTGCATAATTTGAATGTTAGGTTCAATGGTTAAGTTCTCTTAAGAATGTTTTTGGTGATACTGAGAGATGTTTTTGTATTGAACAGGAAGCTATGCAGCAGCGAGAGACGGCTCAGAAGATAGCTCTTCAGGCGTTGAGAGAAGCTACAGCTACCGAAACAGTCGTTCGTCATCTCAAGTACACACAACAATCTCTTCTTGATCGGTTTCATTGTATGATTTATGGATGTTTGTGTTTGAAATGTTCTTATGAATCTTTGTGGGATAATGCAGGACATTTGCCAATCTAAGCAAATCAGCAAAAGCTGATTGTCCGGCTGCCTGCTTGGACAAGTTCTTGGAGTTTCACAGCCAGATATCTGAAACCGTGAACGAAATCGCGTCCATTGAAGCAGCTGCTTCTACTAATGAGAACAAATCTGAGGATGCATCATCGTCGATACTACACGAAATCCCGCACAACTCTATTGATCAGGAGAAAACAACATCAAAGAGAAGAACTGTCCTGAAGCAGCAGCAAAATCACAAGCAATTAAGATCAAACGATGAGAACAAGAACCCGCTTTCCGGGTTAGGAAACACGGCCAGGTTGGTTAAAGAGATAGAGAAAGAAGCTGCAAATTGGTTCATGGAGTTTATAGAAAAGGCTTTGGAGAAAGGGATGAAGAAATGTAAAGGCACAAGTGATGCAGATGTTAAGAAGGTTCCACAGTCTCTGATTCTCAAAGTTGTAAACTGGGTGGAAGCAGAACAATCTGCTGATAACATGAAACGACCAGTGCATCCAAAAGCATCACATATCACTAGAAAGCTCAGAATCAAGTTGAAGAATCCATGAACCATAAGCGCGATATCGAGATTTTATGTTGTTTGTTACCACTTCTACGTCTACTGTGAAAAGGCTTTTAGTTTCCACTGCTTATAGAGAGATTATTCATGAATTCTATTGTTATATTAGTCAAGTTCATATACACATCAATGAAACTAATAAGAGTATGTGTTTATTGATCACACATTTTCATGTAGCTTTATTTGTAAAATGTGTTTGAAGATAAATTATTACTCTCAAAATCTAGAAAACCTAGAGACAAAACAACTCCAGGTTTCCCAAAGCAAAAGTGCAAATCCATTATAAACCAAACTCGATAAATAAGCGTAAGTCCAGCTACTTAAAGGCGAGATACCACCTGGTATGGTTTAGAGCCAGGCCGGGTTCTTGAGGGAAGTGACAACAGCCTTGACTTGCAAGTAATTGTTGAGACTGTAGAGACCTTTCTCTCTTCCAATGCCACTCATCTTATACCCTCCAAATGGAATCGATGCATCAAGAACATCGAAACAGTTAATCCAAACGGTCCCAACCCTGAGTGCTCGCATTAGCCGGTGCGCTGTGTCCAGATTTTGTGTGAACACTCCTGCAGCTAAACCGTACCTTGAGTTGTTGGCCCTTGCAATCACCTCATCAAGATCCCTAAGAAACATCAAAAGCCATTAGTACAGTTTAACCAGAAAATATCAACAAAGAGAAAATATTTGGTTTAGCATTTAGATTGTACTTGAATTTCAGTATGGTTTGAACCGGCCCGAAAATCTCGTCTGTGGCTATGAGCATGTCATCCTGCCAAGTTCAATACGGTCCATATAAATCAACTTCCGCAAGAAACTGTGACGGCAATTGAGTTTTGTTTTAAGGGTAATATTATTTTTACTTACTTTCACGTCTGAGAAGACAGTAGGTTGAATGTAGTAACCCTTGGAACCAAGCCGGTCACCTCCAGCTTGTAATGTGGCTCCAGCCTCAACTCCATATTTGATGTACTTCAAGATTTTCTTGAATTGCTCTGAGTCAACCTGTTTTTTAGTCCAATACAAGTTAGGAATTTTGAAATGTTGTTCTGTTTTTCACCGAGAACGTGGTAAGTTTACGGTTTCTAAATGCTGTTCTGTCTACCTGGGGACCTTGCTCAATGCCTGATTTGAAGGGATCTCCAACATTGCGCTTAAGTGCACGAGCTTTAGCTTTCTCTACAAACTCATCATATACGCGTTCATGTACAAATGTACGCGAACCAGCACAGCAGCATTGTCCCTACAAGTTAAGCAGAACAGGTTATACTTATCAGAAAAGGCTGGATTCTTAAGACTGTAGAACCATGAAACCATATAAACCAGTACCTGGTTAAAGAACAAAGCGAAATGTGCAAGCTCAACAGCTTGATCAACATCAGCATCTTCACATACAATGAATGGTGACTTGCCTCCAAGCTCAAGAGTCACTGCCTTAAGGTTACTTTTTGAAGCCAACTCAAGAATAATCTTCCCAACATCAGTAGACCCAGTGAAAGCAACCTGTAGAGTGCAGAGGGATTTATCAGAAATTCTATAGAGTGCATAAATTTTGTCTTATAATAGAAGAAATTTGCAAAGTTTGTCTTTTAAACCTTATCAACGTCCATGTGACTAGCTATAGCTGCACCAGCTGTTGCACCAAATCCAGAAACTATATTCACAACTCCATCAGGAAGTCCAGCCTGTGTCATAAAAATAGCAAGTTACTTGAGCAAAACATAACATCAAGGTCTTTATGTTGTCAAGTGGACAAATGATAACAAACACAAGAGCACATTGTTACCTCATGAAGAAGTTTCCCAACAAGAAGAGCAGATAAAGGAGTTTGCTCAGCAGTCTTGAGAACAATGGTGTTACCGCAAGCTAAAGCTGGTCCAAGTTTCCAAGAAAGCATGAGAAGAGGGAAGTTCCATGGGATGATTTGTCCAGCTACTCCTATAGGCTCATGCAATGTCTGCACATGGTGTGGACCATCTCCTGGCATTGTCATTCCATGTATCTTATCTGCCCAACCTGAGAAACTCATCGAAGAACAAAACATAAAAATCCTTAAAGAGATCATGAAAAAAGTCATTAAGGTACACAATATGCATCAGTGGTTTCACTCACCAGCATAGTACCGGAACACTCTAGCAAGCATTGGGACTTCAATCTGAACAGATTGTTCATATGGTTTCCCATTATCCCAAGTCTCAAGAGCAGCAATCTCATCGTTATGTTTCTCAATTAAATCCGCGAAACGAAACAGTATCTTTGATCTCTCCTGAAGAAATTAACAAAGCTAAGAGTCATTTCAAAAGCACAAATAAAAACACAAGATAAGCACAAAAACAAAGTTATTATATACATAAGCAGTCATTCTAGGCCATGGTCCTTCATCAAAAGCCTTTCGTGCAGCTGCAACCGCGCGGTTCACATCTTCTGCATCACCTTCAGCTACCTGAGCAATCACTTCTCCATTCCTTGGATCCAAAGTAGGGAAAGTTTTTCCTGTAATAAATTTAAAACAATCAAGTCTCAATATATTTACGAGCTTTTCAGATATTGACAAGGGTAAACATTTCTTACCTGACACTGCATCAACGAATCTTCCACCGATTAGAAGCTGTGTGTGTTCGACTTTCACAGGTGGTGTAATAGTGTTTTCGACAGCAGCAGCGAGGTTACTGTATCTTTGAGCTCCTCTGTTCATGCCTGAAGAAACAAACAAGAACGCATCGAATCAATCTAAATGAGATCAAGAAGTGACCACAAAATCCGAAAAAACTCGGAGATCATCGATCCGAATAGAGAAAATGAAAACAGAACGATCTCGATCATCAAGATACATATAAGGAACAGAGCAAATAACTATGACAGAGAAGCAATGACTCTACAAATGGATCGGATCGCATTTAGATACCTCTAAGAGAGAAGAGAGAAGGTGATGAGGACATGAAAGAACGAGAGAGCAGCGAAGAAACTCTTCTTGATGCCATGGCTAACTTTCTTTCTTCTTCTTCTTCTCTTTCTCACGGTGATGGTCGCTTTTGTATTGGTGTGTGAGCTCTGTTTATGGAAGCACACGAGTAATGAATTCGCATTTAACGAACATAAGGAAGAACCATTTCAGGGATAAAAATATCACATTCGGAGTCAAATCAAAAGCTCGTGTCGACACTAAAAATATATAATATCATTTTAATCATTCGTTTCTATCTTTTATTTTACTTAGTAGTATAGTACCATAAAAAAAAAAAAAAAAAAAAAAGTATAGTACCATAATCTTCGGAGTTATAGTTGTAATTTTAGTATCATAGATATATTAAGAGCATCTTCAACGGAAAGAAACCATCGTGGTTTCTCAAATATAATAATTTAATGTTTCTATAATAAATGAATTATTTGTTTAAATTTTAATTAATAAAAAAAGAGTCTAACCAGTTAAATGATGTCATGTGTCAGACACAGTTTCTCAAAGTTTCTCAAACGAGAAACGTTTCTCATTCTCTCTCTTACTTTTAATTATTTATTATTATTTTTTATTTCTTTGACATCCTAATACACTTCCGTTGGAGATGCTTTTAAGAATGTCCTGACAAAAGAAGTAAACTAGAATATTTTTTACAGAAAATATTTAAAATTAACATCATTGAAAATAATTAATTGTTAAAACGATATTTAAGTGTGAATGTGGTTTTTTGTTGTTCAAAAAAAAAAATGTGAATGTGGTTTTTTTAACAAAAAAAGAGAGAAGGAAAGTGTGAATGGGTGACTTCAAAAGTGTGGTACGGCATCGAAAGGCGTAAGAGAAAAGTATTACGTCCCGATTATTTTGAAGAGATTTGAGTGGTTCACCTACCACACTAAAAATAGGTGATTATTTTACTTATATCGTTAATCTCAATATCAGTAGGGTAAATTGATTAGTTATGGTATAATATAGTGGTCCACCGACCACCTTGTGTGTTGGCATTAGAGATTACGCTTTTAATCGTTATTATAGGTTTGTATAGAGATAAGATCATTTTTTAGTGATACTTTGTTACCAATAATATTTCTTGGTTAACACTAAGTTATGATCTTGACAATGTGTCAATGTTACATTACGTGTAACTTAGTTTGGACCCACCCTTACAAAAACAGAACAATTCGATGGATAAGGCTATATTTTAGCCATAAATCTCCTTATTTACTAGGTAATTTGTCGAGATTCATATACTACGTAATTGTTCTGTGTTGAAAGTGTTGGTTTTTTATAGCCTTTTTTTTTTGTTGAAACAACAGTTTTTAAAAAACAAATGAGTACAAATTTATCTAAAATTGACAGAACCTTTATATGGGTTTAGTAATTAGCTACGAAAACTTGCATGAGCGCTAAAAATGCCAATGCACATTGATTATCACGTTTTCATAGTTCAAATTATTAAAACACTTAATAGACATTATCGATACGTAAACGCTTTTTTTTTTTTTTCTTTTTTTTACGTAAACGCATTTCTTTTGTCATTTATAGAAAATCATTTTAGCATTTACTTGCTTATCATCTCTACCAAAATTTCTTTTAATAGACAGATAAAAAGAAGTGTGTCATGACTTTTTTTTCGTATAAGATTCGGCCCTATTAGAACCATATATAAATAGACCGTTCGTTCGAAATGACTAACATGAACTAGGAACAAACGTATGAAACTGAAACATCATTACAATTATATTATAGAAGTATATAGATAAGTAGATTCATAGGATGATCCACAATACCTCATAAACACCACAATTTGATCGGACAAAATATAGTTAACATAAACAAATATTTCATTTAATGCTTCTCTCCTCCATCCTAATGTAATTCTCTACAAAGTAATGTATTCTTTTTCCCAAAAAAAATGTGTTAATTGCAAAACAATCAAACCAAATACTACTATAATGGCCGACAAAAAAAAATAGTACTATAATGGGCCTAATACTATTATAGTGGGCCAAACCTTGCGACCCAATTCCCTTATGACATTGAGAATGTGGGAATAACATTTTCTCGTCCGTCCATGTTCATAACAAGTCTGATTTTGGTGTATGAGAATTTTGCACGTGAGATAGCGCGTGGTGTAAACGTGCAAAAAAGCGAGTGAGAATCAAAGACACGAATAAAAACAGAACATAAAAAGCCAAAAAGCTTCTCTTTAAAAAAATAAAATAAAATAAAAAAGGCCCAAAAGTTAAAGAAACGATATATTCGAGGCAAAAGTAGAATTATCATCACATAATAATTTCCCAATTTTGCTAACGTTGAAAAAATAATAATAAAAAATGAAATGATATTTTCAGTGTTACGCTCTTCTCTTCCTTATATCTTCCGCTTCACTTCACACCAAAATCACCACCTCTCCTCAAAAACCCTAATTCCTCTCTCTCATTTCTCGGAGATATTCAGCAGAGCAATAACCATGGATGCTAAAGAATCCTCCGCCACCGATTTGAAAAGACCGAGAGAAGAGGATGATAACGGTGCCGCCGCAACCATGGAGACGGAGAACGGAGATCAGAAAAAGGAGCCTGCTTGTTTCTCCACTGTCATTCCTGGCTGGTTCTCTGAAATGAGTCCTATGTGGCCAGGTCTTGTTTTATTCCTCTCTGAAAAAAAGCAAATTCTGGGTTTGAAATTAAAAAGCTCAACTTTTTTATTGGTTTGAGATGCAGGAGAGGCACACTCATTGAAGGTTGAGAAAGTTTTGTTTCAAGGGAAATCAGATTATCAGGATGTGATTGTTTTCCAGGTAAGGAGAAAAAAAAGAACCATTTCTCTGTTTTTGTGTAGTTTATTTGCTTAATTTGACTGGATTTGTGTGTTGTTAGTCTGCAACATATGGAAAAGTTTTGGTTTTGGATGGAGTAATCCAACTTACAGAGAGAGATGAATGTGCCTATCAAGAAATGATTACTCATCTTCCTTTGTGCTCTATTCCTAACCCTAAGAAGGTATAAATCAATCCTTTTAGAACCATTTTGACTCTGTTCCTTTGCCTGTGACCTTTGTTGCATTTTGGGTTGTGTGTTTGTTGTTTGGGTAATCAAAAGTTTATAGCTTTGGAATGTAATGAAAGGTCTTTTTTATAAGGTTGCATTTTTCTTCTCCGGTAAAGTAGGATGATTAAATCATTAGTTATGGAGAAATAGAGAAACCAGAGTTCCTTTTATCAGATGTGATTATAGAAACTACTTGAGTTGGCATAAATGATTACATTCCAGGGTGGTGATAGGAATGTCCACTAGAGAAAAGGTAGATGATTAACATTTTTTGCTTTTTAAATGTACAAACTTTGATGGCCTCCTGAGAAAAAAGGTACATAGTCCCATGTTCTCTTCTGGCAAAGTTAGAGAATTCAAGCAACTTTATTGGATAATAATAATATGATAGAAACTCTTTCTACTTTCAAGTGACTTAAATGATTATCCTCTAGCTTGCTATTAGGGATTTGTTTGAGAAATGCTATTTCATACATTTTGGGTTATGGTAAAGTGGAGCAGCTAGAAATGCTGTTTGTGCTTTTAGCTAGTAAAGCTATAAGCCAGAGTGTATCTGATCAATGCCTTTCTAGTTCTTCCATAGGTTTTGGTCATTGGAGGAGGAGATGGAGGTGTCTTGCGGGAAGTTGCACGTCATGCTTCTGTTGAGCAGATTGACATGTGTGAAATTGATAAAATGGTGGTCGACGTGAGTGGTCACTTACTTTTCACCTATCCTGCAACTCTATTTCGATAAATGCCTTGTTATCTGAAACAATGAACTTTTGGATGTGTATTTTAGTTTAATTTGTTTCCACCTAATGGGGATTTTCAGGTGTCTAAGCAGTTTTTCCCTGATGTAGCAATTGGATATGAGGATCCTCGCGTGAACCTCGTCATTGGCGATGGTACAAAACTGCCTCTTTTTTATTGAATATATTTTACCAATTTTAAAAAACATTTTTAACTGATCGGTGGGTGAATAATTGCAGGTGTTGCTTTCTTGAAGAATGCTGCTGAAGGATCATACGATGCAGTTATTGTTGACTCTTCAGATCCAATCGGTAACTACTACAATCATATTTTTCATCAGAAACCACCTTGGTGTTATGTTGAACAAAACTAAAAAGCAGCGTTTACTTATTGCTATGCTTGCTGGTGTGTGTCAGGTCCTGCAAAGGAGCTGTTTGAGAAACCCTTCTTCCAATCCGTGGCTAGAGCTCTTCGTCCTGGTGGGGTTGTGTGTACTCAGGCTGAAAGCTTGTGGCTTCACATGGACATCATCGAAGACATTGTCGCTAACTGCCGTGAGATCTTCAAGGGTTCTGTGAACTATGCCTGGACCAGCGTTCCAACATACCCCAGGCATGTTTAATGACCTTTAACATCAATCTCTCTCCTTTTTGTGTGATTATAACTTTAAAATGTGTATCATCTCACACTTTTCTTATTTTCAGTGGGGTTATTGGATTTATGCTTTGTTCTACTGAGGGACCTGATGTTGACTTCAAACACCCACTGAACCCAATTGACGAAAGCTCAAGCAAATCAAATGGACCTTTGAAGTTTTACAATGCCGAGGTAAGAAAATATCTCTCGATATACCATTTCATGCGGTCTAGACACTCGAATCCTTAGCTTATGCTCTCATTTCTTCCGGGTTTCAGATTCATTCAGCTGCATTCTGCTTGCCTTCTTTTGCCAAGAAGGTAATTGAGTCAAAAGCCAATTGAAAAGAGAAAGAAAACTAATCCGGAGGATCGTTGAATTTATCAAAAATAAAAGCATTTTACTGTTTTTAGAATGTTCTGTTGTTTCATGCATGTTTCTGTAACACACTGCAAGAGCTGCAAAAGTGACTATGTCTTCTTTTAGCATTTACACATTACATAGTAGCAAATCCTATTTACAACATGTTCTTATGCTTTTGCGATGAAGCTGAGAAGTCTAATAACATTTCTGCTTTTTTACCATTTATTATTAAAGATTCACACTTTGAATTGATCTCAGCCAAACTCTTTAAGCAGCAAGAGTTTTAGCATGTTCAACATCACGCTTCTTCCTCAAAACCATAGTTTTACAATCATGGTAACAAGCAAGACAAGTCACCCATTTAAGCACATTACCAACACAAATCAAGCCTACATAGAAACCAGTGTACATCACTCCATTTCCACTTGAACTCGCACTGCATTTGGAGTATAAACATGGCATCCTCATCGCAAGACCGAAGACCAAGAACATTAACATCAACCAGAGGTCACGCTTCTCATGTCCTTTTCTATACCAAGCTGAAAGAGACAGAGCATCGCCTCCGTAGATGCCTTGACCATCTTCATCTTCTTCCAAGACCGAAACAACCAAACCCATGTTCCATCCGGAGCTCCACTTGCTGAACTTTGCAGTCAGAACTATAAAGAGAGTACACTGAATCAGAAGAGTCAGCACCACCACCACGTCGAACAGCCCTGCTGCTTGGTAGTGGAACCTTTTGTATTCGCGTGAGAGATAAGGAATGGATAAGTAGTTGGTAGAACCAGAGAGAAACTGAAGAAAAAAGAACAAGAAAAGGAAAAGAAAAACAGAGGTTGACCAAAGGAGGACATAAAGAGATGTGATCAGACAACCTCCTAATCTGTTCTGACATATTTTGACAGATCTCCCAACCAAATAAAGCAGCCCTAACGGCTCTTCCTTGGATGTGTAAACAATCGAAGATGCTGCAACGATCGTTGTGGTAGTAAGAAGGTCAAGAATGGTGTAGGGGAAAAAGTAGAGCAGAAATGTCTGGATCAGCCATGGAATCATATCATTCTTTTTCTCTGATATGAGAATCAGATCATTCTCCGGCAAGTCCTCCCCAAGAGTGAGTAGTTTGAAGAGGAATTGGGAAGTGAGAGAGACAGTGGTTTGGAGTGAGAGCTCAAAGAAGATCAAGAAACAAAACAGTGGGAGAGAGCAGAGGCATAGGAAGAGCAAGAGATTGATGTTACCGAAGAGTAGCTTCGCAGCTAGTTTTAGAAGTTCAGTGACACTTAGCTTCTCTTCGCTCTTCGTCTCCATTTGTTGATCTCTTTTCTCACAATAGAAGTTGAAGAAGAAGACTAATCACAGATCTGTATATGAAGTAGGACATGTAACTATGTAAGTACTAATTAGTCTTAATATATTAGTGTCCTTCATTGACGTTGACTTGTTGACTTTGTCTACAAGCCACCGTATGGTAATGTTTGACTAGTAGGGTTTTACTAGATAAGCTTAAAGAGTCTTCTGATTTGAGAACTATTAAAAACTTCAAATTGTTATTTAAAGTATAGGGCAAAATCTATTGGTGCTAGAGAAATTGTTAAAGATTTGGTCACAAACAATTTCTTTTGATCCAATCTCTACATCACCCTTCTTCCTCAAAACCCTTGTGTTACAATCACGGTAACAAACAACACAAGACACCCATTTGATCATATTACCAACACAAATCAAACCTACATAAAGACCAGTGTACAACACTCCATTCCCACTCAGACTTTCACTGCATTTGTAGTATAAACATGGCATCCTCGTCACAAGAGCGCCGACAAAGAACACTAGCATCATCCAGAGGTCACGCTTCTCTTGTCCTCTTAACTCTTAAGTACCAAGCTGAAAGAGACAAAGCACTGCTTCCATAGATGCCTTTACCATCTTCTTCTTCCTCTAAGACCGAAACAACCATACTAATGTTCCATCCCGCGCTCCATTTGCTGAACTTTGCAGCCAGAACTATGAAGACAGTACCGTGAATCAGAACCACCACCGCGTGGAAAAGTACCACTAGTGCTTGTTTAATGAATCTTTGGTGTTCGAGTGTGAGAGAAACAATGAATATGTATATGGTTGAACCAGAGAAAAAAACCGAGGAAAACAGAGGTTGACAAAATAAGGACAAAGAGAGATGTGATCAGACAACCTCCTACTTTGTTCTGACATATTTTGAAAGATCTCCGTACCAGATAAAGCAGTCCCAAGGGTTCTTCCTCGGACGTGTAAGAAATCGAAGATGCTGCAACGATCGTGGTGGTGGTAAGGAGGTCGATAATAGTGTAGGGAAAGAAGTAGAGCAGAGATGTCTGCACCAACCATGGAATAAGATCATTCTCCGACAAGTCCTCCTCAGAATTGACTAGTTTGGAAAGGTATGTGGAAGCGAGTGTGAGACAGTAGTTTGGAGGGAGAGCTCGAAGAAGATCAGGAAACAAAACAGTGGGAGAGAGCAGAGGAAGAGGAAGAGGAAGAGAGCGAGGTTGATGTTACCAAAGAGTAGCTTAGCAGATCGTTTTAGTAGTTCGATGATACTTAGCTTCTCATCGCTCTTCGTCTCCATTTGTTTATCTCTTTCTCACAATAGAAGAAGAGAGGTTAAAGATCTGTATGTGTAGTGGTGGAACATGTAATTGGTAATAGTCTTTGAGTAATTAATGGTCGTCCTTCATTGACGTTGACTTCTTGACTTCGTCTACAAGTCACTGTATGTAATGTTTGATTTAGTAGTGGGGTTTTACTAGATAAGCTTCAAGTCTATTGGATTGCGACTTCTGGTTTGGTCCACAAGTCCACTTACCCCAAGAATTGTCAATTTAGAACTATTTACACTTCATTTTGTAATTACATTACAATGAGCAGAAACCTCGATCTAAGTATTGGAGATAACAGTGAAAACCAGTAAATCTAAGACGTGCCAATATCATTCTTGTGGAAACATATATTTTAATTTCATTTTTTTATGTTAGAGATAAGATAATAAAAAAAAACTTTACATTGTATAAGTGTACATTAAAATCTCATATCAAACACAACTCAATAATATAACTTTCAATGAATACTTGGCCAAGCCATGAACACTGATAGGTCTCACACAACAATACATTAAAATGGAATATGACCTTAAGGGTATAAATGGAGCAACTATAACGAAAGCTTGATGAAGAGGGCAGTGCTATTGGTCATGTAGAAATTGTTTAAGATTCGAGAGCTTTGGTTTGATCTAAGACAATTTATCTATGCAACAAAAGTCTTAGCTTTTGATCCAATCTCCACATCACCTTTCTTCTCCAAAACCTTGGTTCTACAATCTTCATAAAACACTACACAAGCCACCCATTTGATCATATTCCCAACACAGATCAAACCCACATAGAAACTCGTGTACAGCACTCTATGTCCATTCGAACTCTCAGTGCATTTGAAGCAAAAACATGGCATCCTCATCGCAATAGCGAAGACCAAGAACACCAGCATCACTTGGAGACCGCGCTTCTCATGTCCTTTTCCATATTTAGCAGAGATCGTCAGGGCATCGGTTCCATAGATGTTTTGACCTTCTTCTTGATCTTCTTCTAACACCGAGATAACCAAACCCATGTTCCATGCCGCACTCCACTTGCTGAACATCGCCAGCAAAACGAGAAAGATAGCACCATGAAACATAGCCATAGCTGCATCAAACAACATCTTTACCGGATCGTCGAAGCGGCTGCTTCTGTAATAACCTCCGCTATCTTCATCCAGATCGATATAATAGTAGTGTGAGTATTCTCCTAATCCGATCAGAGAAATGATGTAGAAATAGTTCGTTGCTACAAAGAAGAAACCAAAGAGAACAGGGGTTGACATCAGAAGGATGTACAGAGAGGTGATCAGACAACCTTCAAGTCTGTTTTGACATATCTCTACGGTTCTCCGAACCAATTGACCGAACCTTAACGGTTCCTCCTCGGACGTGTGAACAATCCAAGATGCGGAGACTATTATGGTGGTGGTGAGGAGGTCTAGAAGGCTGTACGGGAACAAGTAGAGTAGAAATGTCTGGATAAGCAATGGAAGCAGATTCTCCGACAAGGCAGCATCTCGAGGAACGTAGTAGTAATTCCAATTATTGAGTTGTCGAACGAGGTATTGAGAAGCGAGTGAGACAGTGGTTTGAAGTGAGAGCTCGAAGAAGATCAAGAAACAAAAGAGAGGGAGAGAGCAAAGGCAGAGGAAGAGAACGAGATTGATGTTACCCCATAGAAGCTTTGTTGCTCGTTTGAGTACGTTGATGTAACCTTGATCCTCCTCGATCTTCATCTCCTTTAGCAGTTATTCTCTTCTTACCAAAGAATAAGGGAGATCACAGATCTATAGACTGTTTAGTCGTTCTTCATTGGTTGACTTTAACGTTGACGTTGACTTTTTTTTTTTTTTGGTCGGCCAAGTAGTGTCATTAAAAAGCCCAAGGGCAAAATACAGAAGGTCCAGAAGAGAAATACACGCAAAAGGAAACGGCCCAACTAAATCAAAATGAAATAAACAAATAAACATAAAGTGCCAGCAAGATTTAGCTAAAGACACGTGTTCTTCTACTTCCACGCGTCCTGGTATGAAGCGCCGCCGTCTCAGTTCGCCGGAGATCGCCAAATTCCGATTAGCCGCCGCCAATCAGCTATGGATCGATTTGTATCCTCTTTCCTTCTGCCGATCTTCAATCCAACCTAAACATAGCATCGAAATCTGCCGGATTTATATGAAGAACGCTTCAAAATTTCTCCGGAAAACGCCAACACCGAGGAAGCTCCACCACCGGCTACACCCAACTTGATGTAGACTTGAATCTTTCTTTGCTCAGATATCTTGAGCAAAAGGAGAGTGACGAAGATGTTATTCGCGAGTAATTGGAGAAAACGGAGAAAGACGGAGACATCGATGATTAGAGATGCAGATGGAAAAAGATCGAAACTCGCTATAGGCGAGAAAGAACCGGACTGATCCGGTAACCAAAAGTCCAGCATCTAACTGGAAATTATTGAATCGCATAAAGCGAATATATACAATCTGGTAGAAACCAGAAACAAAAGCTGAAAATAGATTCACCGATTAAAATCGGGAAAGAAGACTCTCTCTCTCTAAACGATAAGAGAGCGATAAGAGAGAGAGAGGTCTTGTTGACGTTGACTTAAGACCTGGCTAGTGGCTACATTTCACTTTCATGTAAAATTTAATGCAAGTAAAAAGCCTTTGAACCAAATTTCCACAAAACACAATTTAGAAAAGCATTCACATGAAAGGATGTTGCAGCCGAAGAAGAACAGATTAAAAGTCAAGACTCATTAGTATGTATGACTATATCGAAAAGATCATGATCACAAAAGACTAAGCTAACACCTTTTCACAAGCAATACAAAAAGAAGCATCCACAAAAGGGTTTAATGTAAGTGTGTGATCCACCAACAGATGTGTGCAAAGTTGACCGAAAACAAAAGTGAGCAGAGAACCCAAGGGGTGATAAAGCAGCTGAGAGCGAGGGAGATGAAGAGGAAGGGGCGGGGTGAAGAAACAGCTTTGTCTTTCTCCTTAGAAGCTTGGTTTGCAGATTGGGGTAAGAGTTGTGAGTAAAGAGCAGGGCAATCTAAAAGTCACACAATGTAACAAGCAAATCTAGCTGATGATGGTCGAGTTGACGATGCAGATTCATAGCAAAGCTAAGTTGAGGGGAGAGTAAGATGCAGCGCAGCTGCGGAGAGATCCCAGTATCTTACCCGATAAATCATACCTCACAAGGGAAAAAGTGGAAACAGTTGAGCCTTTTAGATATGTCACACATATTATATGATAAGGTAAGTGCATTCAACAAGACACAAAACACATTTTATGGATACGAAAGAACGACCTCAAGTGTAGGGGTTCAAGCACGCTGAGTGAAGACAGCAAGCCAGCGCGTTCAACGCTAGTGCGTGTTAAAGAGAATAAGTCAAGACGGCTGTTGGAAAACAGCTTGAAGGAGAATTCACCAAATCCAATTGTCTAATAAAACACGAACACATCAATGACATGTCTACCATGCTCAACAACCAATCCTAGTAGAACTATCCTAAAGAGGGCCAAACATAGCATCATAGCATAGAAGTTTTAATATCTTCTTTCTCTTCAGGGTCCAGTTTCACACCCTGCAAGAAACGCAAAGAATATATACCTTATATCAAATATACTTCAAACGTTATTCAGATTTACATAGAGAATGCTGAAGTTGAGTCATGCAGATTGAGAAAACCTAAAACCAAGAAAAGGAAAGAACTTTTACCCATTGGCATATGGCGAACGTCGACCATAGGGTGAGTCTCTGCGGCGAGGAGAATCCCGGCGCGAACCACGATAAGGAGGGGATCTGCTGTAGCTCCGCCCACGGCGAGGTGGAGTAACACTGCGACGCCTTGGAGGAGATCTTCTTCCACGCGGGCTTATACTCCTGAACAAAATTGATTCAAAGGATCAAAAACATACATCAAGAAAGGTATGATTAACATTAACAACTCAGGCCCTATACTTGATTACAAAATCCAATAAATGCGATTTCAACGGAAAGTTTAATACTTCACAAGAACTCTACAAGTCACACAACTGCGTTTATATATGAAAATCAGACTCCTACCACAATGGACTAAACAACATAACATCTCATCTAAATTCCATCGCTATAATACTTAAGCAGCTCAATAAGAATGTTTTAGCTGAACTCACCTGCGTCCATACCCATAATCTGGACTCCTACGACGACGAGGACTAGGGCTTCTACGCCTCACAGAGCCTCGACCACGGCGACACTCCCGTGCAAAATGTCCAAGTTCACCACACTCATAGCACTTGGAATCCTCAATACCTCCACGACGGCCACCACCGCCTCCACGACCACCTTTATCTTTATGAGAAAGCTCCACACGCCACCCATTCTTTCCTGAAGTATATGCCTCAATCATTACATGATACTTCAAGGCAACAAGAAATTAGATTAATTCAGAGATCTAATAAGAAGAAACACTAACGATCCAATGCCCTAATTGCATCCAAAGCATCTCTCTCGTCATCGAACTCGAGGAAAGCGTAACCAGGAGGCCTACGAGCTACCCAAACACTGCGATTTTATTTGAAGATCAAGAGTCAAAATTCGTATGGTTTGAAACAAAATTGAGTACAGGTCTTAAAGCTCAGAGATATCAATTACTTGCGAAGAACGCCGAAGATTCTGAATTCGTCTTCGAGTTCTCTTTCGGTGACCCTTGGGTCCAAATTCCCGACGTAAACCCTCGTCATGATGCAAAATCAGCCAAATCTGAACGAAAGAGAATTGAGTTTTGTGAAGAAATATGGTTATCGACAATAGTTAGAGCAAGTAGTCGACATAGTACCTGAGATTCTTGGTCCTGAGCGGCGAAGCGGGATGTTTTAGGGTTCAGACTTCAGACTTAACACCTCGGCGAGGAAAGAGAGCAAGAAGTTATTTTAATTATATAAAAAGTAAATATTTTTTTGTTATTATTATTTTTTCCCCTCAAAAGTAAATATTTTTTCCATCATATTATTTGGTCATTTCTAATTTTTTTTATACCTATTTATTATTTTTCCATCACTTAAGAAACAAATTTTCAAATTAGCTATATTGTTAGTTGTTACCATGATTACCATTTTTGTTAGTTTTCTGAGTATCCCAGATCTTTTTGGTGAGAACAAAAAAAAACTTTTGCAACTTCTTGCTAGTCATTTGTTGGTATTTCTTTTCATCTATTTTCATTTTATGAGCAATGCATTTTAATCACTCATAAATCTATCGATCAAGTTAGTGGGGATACTAATGAATCATTAGTTTCTGACCAAAAAGAAAAACAAGATACTAGTATCAAGTTCGAGTTTCGTTGCGGACTAACTTGATCATGTGATCCTGAAACAACTATACGGGCCTAAGACCCATTATCTTGGGTAAAATTATAAAATACTAGCAAGTATCAGTTGAGTACGTACGCAGTTGCAAGATCAATGCCCAATGGCCCCGTATGTGTTGTTTTTGGTTTTAATTATTTGAAGCATTTTCTTGGACTCTGGTAATCAATCAACTTGTATCTTCTGTTTTGAAAGAAAATTTGAAAATATAGTTAGCTGATTTAATCTAGTTTGGAATTAGTAGTGTAACAATTGTTAGTTTTACATATTTTCGGCACCTAATTTCATGTGTACTCTAAACGATTGCGCAAAAAAAAAAAAAAAAAGTCTTTTATGACGTGTCGACGTTGCATTGGTTAAAAATTGTACCGGCGTAAATAGAAAAAGGGAAAAAACCCGAAAAAACCGCCATCTATTTGTTTTTTGGCCGTTTAATACGCGTGTTATTAAAGTTGGAATAAAAATGCCTGGTTTAATTTCAATTGCCTTTTAAAATCGTCGTGTTTTAAAACTTGGTATAATCATACACCCGCGTTAACAGACGTTAACTCTACTAACGGAATGACTAACCGCGGTTAAACCTTAACCATATAGTGTTTACGTGTATATATACAATCTATTATCAAGTTTTTTACAATATATTGTCTTAGTCAGGTGGCTAAGGCGGCTGAATTTTATCCTGAACCCGAGTTCGAACACTACTCAGCGCATTTAGACGTTTGTTTTTTTTTCTTTCTTAATTTGATTTTTTTTCTTTTTTCACAAATCTCTCTGTTCGCTCTCTCTTCAACCCACCCGATCACTGCCGCAATCATCAACAGCGGTCCCCAAGCCTCTGTTATTAGCAAACACAACGACATAGTCGAGCTCCTCCATCGACTCTCAACCTCTGAAACCCGAGAAACCAGAGGAACCAAACAATCCGTAGGAGAGAATCTCCTATCAACCAAATCCTCGCTCTCGAAATCGGAAGCAAGAACAGATCCCCTTTGTAACCGTCGGCTCAAACCCTCTCTCCCCACCGAAACCCATGAAACGAATCGAACCCAAAACCGACACAAACCATCAGAGAAACAAACATAGATCTCAATTTTCACCGGAGAAATCAGCGCCGCCGTCGCCTGAGAAGAAGAGCGCATCGTCGGGTCAAAACCCTAGCTTCGCCGCCGTCGCCATCGCTTCAGAGAAGAACGCGTTTTTTACTCCAACAAAAAAAAAACCATGAAAAGCTATAGGATACAAATTGTGGACGGATGGATAATCGACAAAACCCTAATATTATTTCTCACCGTCACAATTGCAGGGTCACAGAAGTCGATCCGAGATCTTCTGTGAAATTTAAGACCAAAAAAAAAAAAAAAAACGTTTTAAAGTGACGGCGGTGAGATTCGAACTTGGGTTCGAGTGGACAATTCAACACACGTTTAACCACCAGACTAAGATAATATATTTGTATATGTTAGAAAAGAGATTGTATATATATACGTAAACACCCTGGGTTAAGGTTTAACCGCAGTTAGTCATTCCGTTAGTAGAGTTAACGTTTGTTAACGCGGGTGTATGATTATACCAAGTTTTAAAATACGACGATTTTAAAAGGCAATTGAAATTAAACCAGGCATTTTTATTCCAATTTTAATAACACGCGTATTAAACGGCCAAAAAAAAAATAGATGGCGGTTTTTTTCGGGTTTTTTCCCAATAGAAAAAGCTTTTACGATAAAATATCATCATCCACCGGAAGACACTTATCCACTGGGGAAAACATTCTGAACCAAGATTATGACCCAGCATACATCAGACACGTGTCTAGTTCTCATTCGCTTCTTTGTAGCCACTCATGTAGACCCCACTCATCCCCCACGTGCCGCCCTTTACAAAAATCGCCAAATTTTTATCAAGTTACACGTGTCGCTATTCTCACGCGCTTGGCTTGTCCCTGAAGTTGGACATGGGAGGGGTCGTCTTTAATTTTTGTATGCCCATATGACTCAGAAAATATGGCCATAACTTCATTCGTTATCCAAATGTAAATTTAAATAAGGGGATATTTTGGTTAGTATCCAAATTTCTAAAATACTGAAATATTTACAGAATTACTATATATTTTTTGAAAATAGTACCATTAACTATTTAAAACTATATATCTAATTGTATAATTAGTGTCGTGTTACGATGTTATAACTATCGTTGTTTTGATCCATAGAGATGTGTGGATTCGTTTTTAAATTTTATTGTTATAAAATAAAATTAGATAATTTAAAACGGATGTTTACAAATTGAATAATAACATAAATACAAAGCAAATAGTTGAAAAATATTAAAATATTAGAAAAGTAGTTGAAAATATCGATATAACTATCCGATTTTTTTTTTTTGATAACAAATAGTATATGATATTATGTATCATACTTTAAAACTACTTATACCATTTTAAAAAAAGTTCAATAACAAGTTGAAACGGATAACGGATTAAAGACGGGTAATAGTATCCGGCCATACCCTAATTGGTCTTATCAAGTGGAAGACGGAAAACAAATGTGCGCTAATGTGCTATTGTGCAAAGGGAAAAAAGCAGCAAAAGAAGAAGAAGAAAAGAAAGTGTCAATCTGATTCAGATTCAATTACCCAATCCTCGTTGGTTTCCTAAACAACGTGAAAACAAAACACAACTTAGATGTCAACGTTATTTACATTCGAACCATTAAGGGCCAAATGGGGATATTATCGTAAATTAACACATAGTTACTACTTTAGTGACAATCCTAATGATGCTTTGTCCCTTGGGGGTCTTGAGAGGCCACCCTGACCTGCGTGGTGCCCTTTTAATATCAATACATTACCGATAATGTGTGCTTACATGTTTTAATTATCTTTGTTTGGTCAAGTTTTTAATATAATAATGACTTCTTCTTTTAACTATTATAAATTTTACTATATCTAATCTGTACATGCATGTTGCATTCCCAATGATGTTTGTTCCATTTTTATGTCTTTTTCTAAGACTTTTTAGTAAGACAAGGATAACTCTAATGATCTTTTTGTAATTAAAGTAAGAAGATTGATTCAATTAATCTTATCTAGCTATATGACTTTATATGGATATAGTCATGGCCATCGTGTGTAGAAGTTTGGTTTTTTGACCAATGCATTACAATTGTTTTATTATTTTGCCAACAGATCATTGTGTCTTAAAACGTTACTTGCACTTTGTAGAGATGTGACTTGTACTTGGTATTTTTTGTTACCATGAAACGACTTGTCAACATTTTTTTTGTTCTTTTTTTTTTGTATAATAGGGACACACTTTGGTATAACTTACCAAATCATATAAGTTCAATAATCATTAATCAAAATAGCTAATTGAACTATACATTTAAATATTTTTTTTAAATACAAATTATTAGACTTAAAAAACCCGCATCCAGAAACAAATTGATGGAATGTTTTTTTTGCTGGTATAACCTTGTTTCACGGGAAAAGTTTATATAACTTTGAGCATGCTACATGCAATGTTAAAAAAATTGTACATTGTAATTTATATATAACATTTACATTTTATATTGTAAAAAGTTAATGATTTGGTACCGGAATTGAGTTTTTCTTAGAGTCATGCTTCCGGAAAGTCTGATTCATTTTGGATAAACTCGTAAACGATAGCTCAATTTAAAACTAACCAAAATATCATTATTTAAAAAGTAATAAAAAGTTGACCCGTACCAATATACGACCTAGACAGAGTAGGTTTGATGAGATCTCATAATCCTAGCATTACCTTTGGATTGGATTAAGGATTAAATTATTTCATTTGTTTCAGCCGAAAAAGAAAATGGTCCACCACATTATCTAGTCATCATCTCATCTACCAAACCCTATAATATGAAGATGATAAGAGGATTAAGGGTAATAATGTCATTTTAATCGACCTCCTTTATTATTATTTTATTGCCAAAATTAGAAAAATAGATCGTTAGACCATCCGCAGTGGTGTAAGTGTGAGGGAGGGGTGTAAGATTTTTTTTATTATTATAATTTAAAGTGAGAGAGAAAAGAGAGAGAGAAAGAAAGAGAGAGAGAGAGATAGAGTGGCTTACACCCGAGTGTAAACTTACACCCGGGTGTAAAGAAAGAGACAACTTTTACATTATTTCTGTATTTTAAAATAATGTTTACACCCGCAAGGATACACCAGTGCGGATGCCCTTATCGTGAACTTTTTTGTTCATTCATCTGTTCCACGAAGAAGACAATTCGAAGTTTTCCGTTGAAGTTTCTCGCCGGCGATTTAGTGATTTTCGGAGAAGGTGAGTAGCAAAGTTTGCTTTTTTTCCTTTTGGGGCTGCTTGGGTTTTGTGGAAAAGTTGAGTTTTGAACTGTTTCATTCATGGGTACAGATTTATTTGGTGTGAAAACGTGTTCTTGAGCTGTTTTTGGGTGTTTTTTTAGGATCGATATTTGGCAAGAATCTCAATTTTGTGCTTGATTTGGTCTCGTTTTTGTTTTTGTTTTCTGAATCATCTTTTGGTGGCATTGTTTGTTTTGGTGATTCTATAGACTCGTGTTTTAAGATCATTGTTTCATCAGTTTTGGTGATGTTAAAGTAAGTTTTAATGGAATGGGTTTGTTTTATTTTCAGGTATTTGACGCTTGGAAGTGTTTAGACTTTAGACGCGTGTTGGATTTGTAAAAATCCAACCTTTCGCTTGCTTCTCTCTATGGTGTCAAGATCTTGTGCAAATTTTCTAGATTTAGCATCTTGGGACTTATTGGACTTTCCTCAAACTCAAAGAGCTCTTCCTCGTGTCATGACTGTTCCTGGTATCATCTCTGAGTTGGATGGAGGCTACAGTGATGGATCCTCTGATGTTAATTCATCAAGCAGCATCCGTGAGCGGAAGATTATAGTGGCTAATATGTTACCATTACAAGCTAAGAGAGATACAGAGACTGGACAATGGTGTTTTAGTTGGGATGAAGATTCTCTTCTTTTGCAACTCAGAGATGGGTTTTCTTCTGATACGGAGTTTGTTTATATAGGATCACTTAATGCTGATATTGGTACGAGTGAACAAGAAGAAGTTTCTCATAAGCTTTTGTTGGATTTCAATTGTGTTCCTGCGTTTTTACCCAAGGAGATGCAAGAAAAGTTCTATCTTGGTTTCTGTAAACACCATTTGTGGCCGCTATTTCACTATATGCTTCCTATGTTCCCTGACCACGGTGATCGTTTTGACCGGCGTCTTTGGCAAGCGTATGTCTCTGCAAACAAGATATTTTCAGATAGGGTGATGGAAGTCATCAACCCTGAGGAAGATTATGTTTGGATTCATGATTATCATCTGATGGTTCTTCCCACATTCTTGAGGAAACGGTTTAACAGGATCAAGCTCGGATTTTTCCTTCACAGTCCATTTCCATCGTCAGAAATCTACCGCACTTTGCCAGTGAGGGATGATCTTCTGAGAGGATTGTTGAACTGTGATCTCATTGGTTTCCACACATTTGATTATGCACGCCATTTTTTGTCATGCTGCAGTAGAATGCTTGGCCTTGATTATGAATCTAAGCGTGGGCACATCGGGCTTGATTACTTTGGTCGAACGGTGTTTATTAAGATCCTTCCTGTTGGCATCCATATGGGGAGGCTGGAATCGGTTTTGAATCTTCCGTCGACTGCAGCGAAAATGAAAGAGATACAAGAACAGTTCAAGGGGAAAAAGTTGATTCTCGGTGTCGACGACATGGACATCTTTAAAGGCATAAGCCTCAAACTTATAGCCATGGAACGTCTCTTTGAGACATATTGGCATATGCGAGGAAAACTTGTCCTGATTCAGATAGTGAACCCAGCTCGGGCCACAGGTAAGGATGTGGAAGAAGCAAAGAGGGAGACATATTCAACTGTAAAAAGGATTAACGAGCGCTATGGTTCTGCTGGTTATCAGCCAGTGATCTTGATTGATCGTCTTGTTCCACGTTATGAGAAGACTGCCTATTATGCAATGGCAGACTGCTGCCTGGTGAATGCAGTAAGAGATGGCATGAACTTAGTTCCATATAAATATATCATTTGCAGGCAAGGGACCCCAGGAATGGATAAGGCCATGGGCATTAGCCATGACTCACCCCGGACGAGCATGCTTGTCGTCTCTGAGTTTATCGGCTGCTCGCCTTCATTGAGTGGTGCGATCAGGGTGAATCCATGGGATGTAGATGCTGTTGCAGAAGCGGTAAACTTAGCCCTCACCATGGGTGAAACTGAAAAGCGATTAAGGCACGAGAAACACTATCACTATGTCAGTACTCATGATGTGGGTTACTGGGCAAAGAGCTTTATGCAGGATCTGGAGAGGGCATGCCAGGAACATTATAATAAACGTTGTTGGGGTATTGGTTTTGGTTTGAGTTTCAGAGTTTTGTCACTCTCTCCGAGTTTTAGGAAGCTATCTATCGACCACATTGTCTCGACGTACAGAACTACACAGAGAAGGGCAATATTTTTGGATTATGACGGCACTCTCGTTCCTGAAAGCTCCATTATCAAAACCCCTAATGCTGAAGTCCTGTCTGTTCTGAAATCTCTGTGTGGAGATCCTAAAAACACTGTGTTTGTCGTCAGTGGAAGAGGATGGGAGTCTCTGAGCGACTGGCTATCTCCATGTGAAAATCTTGGAATCGCAGCTGAACACGGATACTTCATAAGGTATGAATGCTTGTAACTGTTTCTCTTAGTTACGGTTTCTAACAAGAATTTGAACAAACTAAGACCCATTCTATATTTGGATTCAGGTGGAGTAGCAAGAAAGAGTGGGAGACTTGTTACTCGTCGGCTGAGGCGGAATGGAAGACGATGGTAGAACCGGTAATGAGATCATACATGGACGCAACGGATGGTTCTACTATAGAGTTCAAAGAGAGTGCTTTGGTTTGGCATCATCAAGAAGCGGATCCAGACTTTGGAGCCTGTCAAGCAAAGGAGCTTCTGGATCATCTAGAGAGTGTACTCGCAAATGAGCCTGTTGTCGTCAAGAGAGGCCAACACATCGTAGAGGTCAAACCACAGGTAACATCAGATATCTATATAATCTTTTCCTTTTACTTGCATCTGAGAATCTATCAAGAACTCATACCTTCTTATGTGATCGAATCTGTTCTTTGTATTGATGCAGGGAGTAAGCAAAGGCCTAGCCGTGGAAAAGGTGATACACCGAATGGTAGAGGATGGAAACCCACCGGACATGGTGATGTGTATAGGAGATGACAGATCAGACGAAGACATGTTTGAGAGCATATTGAGCACAGTGACAAACCCGGACCTCCCAATGCCACCAGAGATCTTTGCCTGCACGGTGGGAAGAAAACCAAGCAAAGCCAAGTACTTCTTAGATGATGTCTCCGATGTACTGAAGCTCCTAGGAGGATTAGCTGCTGCATCGAGCAGCTCGAAGCCAGAGTATCAACAACAATCCTCCTCATTGCACACGCAAGTGGCGTTTGAGAGCATCATCTGATAACAAAAAATGATTTTTCCAAGTGTGTCAGTGTGGTAAACCATAACCAACATGGGAAAGGGTTTGTATATGAAGAAGGTTTAACATGATGGGGACTGGTCTGTGTGATATATTTATTTTCAAACGCTTGAGAGGGTCTTTTCTTCAATCTCTCTCACTGTTGTTTCTTTAGAATTGCAGCTTTTTACCTCTTTGTATAGAAGAAAGTGTCTGGTGGTTTGTAATTTACACGGAGTAACCAAATGGACAAGTTGGTTTTGTAATTCTTTAAGCAGAAGCCACATAATGTTAAAAAAGAAAAAAAAGGAAAAAAACTAATCTTGTGAATAGTGACAATGAATGAAGCTTGTGGAGCCATTTGTGCTCATTATTTAGTTTTGAGGTCTTAACACATAACAAATATGATGCACATTCCAGTAACGATTATACATGTGTAAATATTTTAAACAATAGTACATAAATTATTCACTGATTAAAAATCTTAAATTAATCAGCAAAACCTTAATAATTATTTTATTGTTGCGCCGACGTTTATGGCATGACCAATGTGTCACTTTTCTACGCCTCTCTTTTTTTCATTTTTGTTGCTTTCTCTTCTTCAACCTTTCTCCTTCCTTTTTCACAGATTGTCACTACTACTTCCTTCAACATTTTAAACCACCTCTGTTTCCTCCAAAAACTTAACTTTTTTTCTTCTCCATCGCAACCAGAATCAATCCACACATTCTCTCAGCCATTCCTCTGTTTTTTAGATATGAACTAGGGTTTTTTTTTGTTTCTTTCCATTTCTCACTTCGCTATTCATTTCTCCTCAACTTTAGTAATGAGTAGGCATTTTCTGTTTCTGGGTATTATCATTCTCATCTTCTCTGGGTTTGTAGCTTCAGCTCCTTCATCAACTTCACCAGCGAGTTAGGTTTTTTTTTTTTTGATATGGGTTTGATCTTTCTATAATCTTAAAGAGCTTACATTTGATTCTTCTTGCAGAGATTGTTAATAGTTTCATCTCGAATCATGGCACTTCCTTAATGAAATGGTTATGGTCTCTCTCTTTCAAAACCACCACTAAAACAGGTTTTGATTCCTCTCTTCACGGATTAAGATTGTAATCAGATAGTTTGATTCTCCTGGGTTTTTGATCTCTGGGTTTTTTTTTTGTTCTAATCACTAATCAGCTGTTTCTACGAAATCGATGGTGAAATTTGAAAATGGGTATTCAGTGGAAACGGTGTTAGACGGAAGCAAACTCGGTATCGAACCTTATTCTCTTCAGGTCTTACCTAATGGCGAATTGCTTATTCTGGATTCTCAGAATAGTAATCTTTACAAGATTTCATCTTCTCTTTCCCTTTGTAAGTATTATATTCTACTATTGATTTTGGTGGATTTCAATATTTGCTGATCCTTTTTGGATTTTGAAATACGCATGATGATGAAGTCAAGCTTTTTCCTTTTTCTCTGCTTTCACGTGATAAAGAAACTATTTGCTTACCTAATCGTAGTGCTCTTATGTACTGTACAGTTTGCTGTATATGGAAATACAGAGATTTTAGGTTTATGAACTTTGAAAATCAGGAGAATTTCTGATGTTTTTTCTTTGTTTGAGAATTTGGATTCAATGAAAATGGTCAAGAATACTGCATTCAATGTTTTAAATGCAGCATTTAACATTAGACGCCTGTTGCATTTTGATTGTGGACTGTATGTATATTTAGCTCAATATGATATTGTTCATAGAAAGCAAGTAGTAGGTGAATTATTGAATAATAGATTGTAACTCTTGGAACAATGGCAGATAGCAGACCGAGGCTGGTTACTGGCTCCCCTGAAGGATATCCGGGTCATGTCGACGGTAGATTGAGAGACGCGAGATTGAACAATCCTAAGGGACTCACGGTTGATGATAGAGGAAATATCTATGTTGCAGATACTGTGAATAATGCTATCAGGAAGATCAGTGAAGCAGGTACCTTTTTTTCTGCAGTTTTAATTATGGTTTTGCCTTATCGACAAATGTTGGGTGTTTATCTATTGAGGTTAGAATTAGTATTGAGAAAGAAAAACAATGTAATGGCAGGAGTCACAACCATTGCTGGGGGAAAAATGGTTCGTGGGGGAGGTCATGTGGATGGTCCAAGTGAAGATGCAAAGTTTTCAAATGATTTTGATGTTGTTTATCTCGGAAGCAGTTGTTCCTTGCTAGTCATTGACCGTGGGAACCAAGCCATCAGAGAGATTCAACTCCATTTCGACGACTGTGCTGATCAGTATGGAAGTGGCTTTCCTCTTGGTAATATATACATACCAAAGTCCTCGATTTGTTGCCCATCTTGCATTTTTCAGTCATCTCTATCTCCGTTACTCTTTTATGTATATCTCTGATTCAATGCTTTAATATTGCAGGGATTGCAGTTCTTGTAGCGGCAATTTTCTTTGGCTATATGCTGGCTTTGTTGCAACGTAGACTCAGTTCTATCGTTTCATATCATACTGTGAGTTTCGCATTGTAACATCATTCACTTATGCTACCTTATAATTGAGTTATAACTGACATTTCTGCCTGTTGTGTATATGTTAGGATCAAGAAGTATTTGAAGCTGTGCCTGATCAAGATCCTATAAAACCGGTCAGACCACCGCTAATTCCAACTGGAGACGAGCAAGAAAAGCAAGAAGAAAGCTTCCTTGGAACGTTGCAGATATTCATTTCGAATGTTTGGGTGTTTTCTGTGGAGCTGTTCAGTGGAATGTTTCCTGGTCTCAGAAAGAAGCAGACAGTCGGCTTCAACTTCAACCATCAAGAAACAAAGCATTCTGCGTTTAGCACAACTTCATGGCCAATTCAAGAGAGCTTTCTAATACACAACAAAGATGAACCACCTCCCGTCGAGTCCAGGAACCCCACTCCCGGAAAAATTTATCCTTTCATGTCCAAAGATGCAGCTGAGAAAATGCAACAGTTGCGCCAAAGCCGTGCGTTGTACAGAAGCTTGGACGCCGAATTCCTCCAGGAGCAGCAGCAACAGAAGCAGCAGCAGCATCACCGTAGGCATCACTCAACGATCCCACACACTGTTTATGAGCGGAGCAGCGAGAAGACTAATGAGATTGTGTTTGGGCCGGGCCAGGAGCAAGACCACAGGCTTGTGGCAGCAGCAGCTACTGCTAAGTCGACAGAGTTTGGAGAACAGATGAATATTCATCAGAATATCCACTACAGAGCTCACCAATTTGTGAGTTACCCATATGGATACTATTCATAGACATGAGAAGTTGCTTAATACGATAGTAGTAGCAATTGGGAATTCAGGTATAGCTGTTTTGAGATTTGTTGAGAAGGCACATTAGGGATTTGGGTATTTAGATCTCTCTTGTAAGAAAAGTACCAAATTATTCTTCCATGGTGTAAAGAAAAAAACATAAGCACTTCAATAAAAAAAGATTTTCCAACTCAACCAAACTTTGAATGTCAAACATTACATTTACAAAAGATACATACTCTCTGCTTCATGTGCTTTTAACTGAAACCTACTCAGTAATTGAAGAACCATGAGTTGCAGCATCTTCTTCAGCCATCTTTGAAAATCCTTCAACATGAACCTTTATAATGTCATCTATGGTTGCATGAGGAAGAGTCTCTTCATTACTGCAATCTTTGTCATTGTCAGGTTCTTGTTCATCATCAAAGCTTATTAGGTCCATATGATCATCAGAGGGTTTCAGTGAAAGCGGCGGCTTTGGGTTGCCGCAACCTGGACTCTTGGGATCAGATACAGAGCATGTCTTGTCTAAAATAGCTACATTATTGGGTTGACACATGAAGAAAAGGCTAAATACCATCGAACTAACTAATCTACTTAGGGCAGAATACATGAGGGAAAGATGAGACACGATCATCATAACTAGTCTACTTAGTACCGAATAAACAGTTGATTCAGCAACTCGGTTTCTAACGTAGGAGAAGAAGGTCAGAACTTGTTCCCCCAATTTGGTTAGGAGAAGCTTCCATGTCATGATGAACGAGAGGTGGTTCACTTCTTCCTGTCTATAACGATTTGGTTAAGAGATCTGATACGTTGATTATACACTAAATGTAATGTGAGGATAGATAAAAAACACTTACATGACGAATGATGTAAGGGCGGACAGCAAATCCAATGGCTACCCCGAGAATGCATGAAAGAACAATCCCTATCGACCAAAGAGAATATGTCCCTAAATCTGAGACAGCGAAAGAAGAACCGTTGAAGTTTCTACAAGCATAGTGTTAGTGTATCAAAATTCACAAAAAAGATTACTGAGAAAAAACATACTAGAATGAGAGCTTTCGAGGCAATCCTCCTCCTTAAGATTTATCTGGCGAACCATTTCATTTCCATGATCAGAAACAAGCAAACAACATCTTTGAGGAACAAAAGTTATCTCGAAATCGCTAGAGAAAGTTGCATTCTGTGCAGGTCCATCTCTGTGTCCAAATTCCTTTGAGATCCCTCCAGCAATGGTGGTTACATAACCTACAAAAGTCCAGTCAATAAAACATGCATAATCAAATAAACTAAGTGGTTCTTCCACCAAAAACCAAGATTAGACAACAACAACTAACATTTTAAAAAAAAGGTATACAAGAAATGGATTAAACAAACACCTGAAGAGCTGATCTTGCGTATAGCTTTATTGTTCTTATCAGCAACATAGACATTCCCTTTAGCATCGATAGCAAAACCACGGGTTTTGTTGAACCGGCTGTTACCAGCTTTACCATCTACATAACCCGAAGTCCCATCCCCAGCAAACCGGTTTATCACACTATCTGCACAAACACACACACATACACTCCAAATGAGCTCAAACTTCAATTAAAAGAAAGATAAAACAAAATAATTCGAGAATTTTCACTTATACATAGTAAAGTTTCAAACTTTCATTTGTAGGTCGATCGTTTCATTGGATTTGAATTGCGGTCCAATTTGAGATTACAAAGAAATCAAAAATGAAAGGTCCAAACTTGCAATCAAAATCCACAAGCCCTAAACATTTACTTATGAATCCATGATTTCACTACTCATATACAAAACCAATTTCAATGATTCGATCCATAAATGATACAAAAGAGTGGCTTTGAGTGTGTTTTACCAACGGACAAAGGAAATGAAGTAGTGTAGAATGTACTGCCGGAAGAATCAAGGACGATGAGATTAGAAGATCCAGGTAAAGCATGAATCGTGTATGGATTCAGACCAGACTTATGGCCGTCGACCACCGTTGTGACCTCGTACCCATCTTCTAAAACTATCTTAGCACTCACTGTCACAAAAATCATGAAAATTAAAAATTCGTATTTTGGGTTTGGAAATTCAACTGAATTGACAGATTTTGAAAACTTACCCAGATTGAAAACGACGAACAAGAAGAGAGACACGGACGAAAATCCCCAAGCCATGTCAAAATCGATGAGAATGAAGAGAAAGCGACTGTGTTGTGTAACTTGTGTTACTTATTTTTGCTGCTTAGCATCTTTAAAGTTTTTAAAGTAGAGAGACTTGTCTAAAGTAATGGGGAGATAAAGGTACTAGGGTCTGAGCAATACTAAGCTGTGTTCAAGTGTAGGGGAGAATTTGTGTAACATCCAATTAAAGAGCGCGTATCATTGACGCTCTCAAATTTGACTAATAGAAACGGCCCAACTCGGGCCCAGTTATGTGTGTAATTAACTTCGACAAAGAAACGGCCCAAACTCGGCCTAGTCTATGTTTTCAGGATTGCTGATCGAAACGTTACCGTTTTGGATGGAAATGGAAGTCATGTTTATTATACAACGCATTTAATTTGGCAATTTTGGTTTACGAAGACTGAGAAAAAAAACGAGCATCGTCCATCGAGATCCAAATCCTCAGTTTCTTTTTCATCTCTCTCGTATTGATCAGCTACTCGAAACTCCGGTAACGGATTTGTACAATCCCGGCGGCGAATTTCTGCTTCCCGGCTAAATTTCCATTTTCTTCAGATTCCTCCTCGTAAAGTTACCGGTGGACCAAGGTCCAACTCTTGAACATCCCAATCATGAATCCCTTTTCTTCTGGTACTCGTCTAAGGTAATTTGGATACTATTCTCTCCATTTCTCGTTTCTGTCTTAGGTTTCTTAGTGGATTTTGTTTGATCAGCTTATAGATGAAATTTGAATATAACATGATGTAATTGAGCTCGTTCATTTGAGGATTGAATTTGGTATAGGTGATTCTGATTCCCTTTAGAATTCTGATTTTAGTCTAAGAACATGATCAAACTAAGGATTTTGGTAATCTTTTTGCTTAATTTTATTGAATATTGGATTGGTTATGTTGCTGTTGGGGTTTTATAGTGAAAGTATGATTAGTTTGAAATTGATTATGTATGATTCTGAAGTTATGGGGGATATGTGAATATGATTCAGGGACATGATCCGTGCCATAAGAGCATGTAAAACAGCTGCGGAGGAGCGAGCTGTTGTAAGAAAAGAGTGTGCTGATATCCGAGCATTAATTAATGAAGATGACCCGCACGATAGGCACCGGAACCTTGCAAAGCTCATGTTTATACACATGTTGGGTTACCCGACACACTTTGGGCAGATGGAGTGCTTGAAGCTAATTGCATCTCCTGGGTTTCCAGAGAAGAGGATTGGATATCTTGGGTTAATGTTGCTTCTTGATGAAAGACAAGAAGTGTTGATGCTTGTCACAAATTCGTTAAAACAGTATCCTTACTAACTCCTAGTTTTAAATCTTGATACCTTGGCCTTTGCATGGATTCTTCTTCTATGTTAGAAAATAGTGTAGAACACTTGATTTTTGGTTGCATTGCTGTGATGGGAATTAAGGAGTGAAAAATATCGTAATAGGTTTGTTTCTGTTGAACCTTAAGTCACGTGCAGAGATCTTAATCACTCGAACCAGTATGTTGTAGGACTGGCTCTCTGTGCTTTAGGGAATATTTGTTCAGCGGAAATGGCCCGTGATCTTGCGCCAGAAGTAGAAAGATTAATCCAGTTTCGTGACCCTAATATCCGAAAGAAGGTGAAATGTTTTCTAATTCGTATACAGGGTCTCCTGGAGTTTAGTCGCTTTTTTTTGTTCCTTCATTGCCTTTACCATTTATGTTGTGTTATATGCAGGCGGCGCTTTGCTCTACGAGAATAGTAAGGAAAGTTCCAGATCTTGCAGAAAACTTTGTAAACGCTGCTGCTTCCTTGCTTAAAGAAAAGCATCATGGGGTTCTTATAACAGGAGTTCAACTTTGTTATGAATTATGCACGATTAGTGATGAAGCCCTAGAGTACTTCAGAACGGTAGGTCAATAAAATTATACAGACCAATCTACTTGAATATGCTTCATTGAACATGCGTACATGTGCTGCTATATTACCTGTATGATGCTTTTGTGTAATTAATTTCTCCTGCAATAAAGTTTGATATCTGTTGTATAAATAGATCACTCTGCTAAAATGAGGCAGACAATCAGGTTGTTATTTTTGTTTTATCAGACAGGCAGTTTTGACAAACCCTTGTCTTTGTTTTGTCTTTGCAGAAATGCACGGAGGGACTTATAAAAACTTTGAGGGATATGACTAATAGCGCATATCAGCCTGAGTATGATGTTGCAGGGATCACAGACCCTTTTCTTCACATACGGTTGCTCAGGCTCCTGCGTGTTTTAGGCCAGGGTGACGCTGATGCTAGTGATTTGATGACTGATATACTTGCCCAGGTTAGTCATAGTTTAGCAAGTGATTCTGGATATGGTTGACCATCTTCACATTTGCGATGTAATTCCTTTGTGAAACATCAAAGTTTTATGGTTTTTGTTTCCAGTTGCCTTACATATACTTTTTTCGAAAAAATGTTGTAAAATAGCTATGCTCTCTCATGTGCTGGAACTGAGTCTGTTAAATTATTGCATAAGGGAGAAAGAATTTCATTTAGGTGATGGGATATTATTCTCTTTGGTAGATACAAGACTTATTGGGTACTGAGTTTTCCCCGTACTTTCTGCCTGGTTGAATTCTCCCTCATTTGATACCAGTGTTAGTTGTCATAGTGAATGTTTATGTGTGGACATATAAGTCTGTAGGTTGCGCCAATCCTTTTTTATCTCACCATGATGAATGCGTCCCGCTTCTGTTACATACTTTGTTGAGGAAATCTTTTGAGTTTAGAGTCAGGGATCTACTGTCGGTTACTTTGTTATGCTGGTTCTTTGATCCCTGCTGTTATGCTGAGAGATATATTTATTCTAGTTGGTTTCATGCTATTGTAGGTGGCAACAAAAACTGAATCAAACAAAAACGCAGGGAATGCGGTACTCTATGAGTGTGTTGAAACAATCATGGCCATTGAAGACACCAATAGCTTGCGTGTGCTTGCTATCAATATCTTGGGAAGATTCTTATCTAACCGCGACAATAACATCAGGTTCAACCCCCTTCACCTCAGTATTTATTTGATATAATTATATGGTATTATATGTTTATAATAGAACTAGCTTGCTTTTATTTTTCTTCCGTCTATCATCTTTCTTTGGATTTGCTTAACTCTATGAAGCACACTATGCTCTTCTTACCAACCAGCGTTTCCTTTTCTAATCTTGGTTTTGTTTCTCTCAAAAACGCTGCATTCCCTTATGAAATCCATACTTTCGTTCTCTCAGGTATGTTGCATTAAACATGCTGATGAAAGCAATCACTTTCGATGATCAAGCAGTGCAAAGGCACAGAGTTACAATTTTGGAATGTGTTAAGGTATTGTGTTTAGTACTACCACGAAAATATTTTATACAATGTTAACTGCTAAGTAATAGGTGTCTTAGAGAAAAAAAAATGCTAATTTGGTTTCTGCTTCCATAACCATATAGGACCCAGATGCTTCTATCCGGAAAAGAGCTCTGGAGCTTGTCACTCTTTTGGTGAATGAGAATAATGTCACACAACTGACAAAGGAGCTAATTGATTATTTGGAAATCAGCGACGAAGATTTTAAGGAAGATCTTAGTGCAAAAATTTGTTTTATCGTCGAAAAGTAAGTATTCTATTTAAGAAATTGAATGACTACTTACTCTGACCCTTTTCATAGGGGGGTTGGGGGTGAGGAGGATTTGAAGGTTACTGTGGATGTCTAGTTGATTGAAATTTTTGTTGACTTGTTAAATTTTTTGATAATGTAGGTTTTCTCCAGAAAAACTATGGTACATTGATCAGATGCTCAAGGTTCTGTGTGAGGTATGGAATCAAACGCGAGAATATGCTCTGTAACTTGTTACCAGTTTATGACACTCTCTGAAATCTTTCTTTGAGAGTTTATATCTGCTTAAGCTACTTTCAAATGCATTTTTTTGTCTGTGGTAACCTACTGTCATCTATTCCATGTTAGTAGGCTGGAAAGTTTGTGAAAGATGATGTGTGGCACGCGCTTATTGTTGTCATAAGCAATGCATCAGAGCTTCATGGATATACAGTTAGGGCATTATACAAAGCAGTCTTGACGTATTCGGAACAGGTAGCTACTTTGTAATGTTAGATTGTGTTCAGTCCTCAATTAGTCATAACCCTTCCTAATATAGTTTCGTTGAGATTATAACCAGGAGACCCTTGTTCGAGTGGCGGTGTGGTGCATTGGGGAATATGGCGATCTGTTGGTTAACAATGTGGGGATGCTTGGTATTGAAGATCCAATAACGGTGAGCATCACAATAGCAATCTTAATTCATTTTTTGCTCCATGATGCTTTTGCGTCTTGGGATTTCTTGTTGGCTTTAAAAAATGTGCAATGAGTATTTGACTGTCTTGAGCAGGTAACGGAATCGGATGCAGTGGACGTTATCGAGGAGGCCATTACTCGCCATAACTCAGATTCGACTACAAAAGCAATGGCATTGGTTGCTCTACTGAAGCTGTCATCCCGCTTTCCTTCTATATCAGAGTATGTTCAACCTCGTTGTGCTATCTGATATCTGCACTTATCGATTTTCAACTCTACAGAAGATGCATATGTGCACTGAGTATGTGAATAACGAATTTTGTCTGTCTACAAGAAACTGTTGCGCGTTACCTTCTGAAAAAGGATTAGAAATATATTATACCTGTACATCCTGTCCTTAACTCTCTTTCGGTAATTAAACAGTTTTCTAAAATTCAATGGCAGGAGAATTAAAGACATAATTGTGAAGCAGAAAGGAAGCCTTCTCCTTGAAATGCAGCAGAGAGCTATTGAATACAATTCTATAGTTGACAGGCATAAAAATATCAGGTTGTTAATGAAACCCCTTGTTCCTCTCTTCCTCATCTATCTTCTAGTGTAAGTTTTTCATATTCTCTCTCCCTCAAAGCTTATGAGAGAGGTATGTGTGCATATAGGTCTACTCTGGTTGACAGAATGCCGGTACTGGATGAGGCTACTTTCAATGTGAGGAGGGCCGGCTCTTTTCCTGCATCAGCTTCAACAATGGCAAAGCCTTCAGTTAGTCTTCCAAATGGTGTTGAGAAACCTGTTGTAGCTCCTCTTGTGGATTTGCTAGACCTAGGTTCAGACGATATCCTGGCTACACCTAGTTCATCTGGTCCAGATTTTCTTCAGGATCTTCTCGGTGTTGACTTAGGAGCATCGTCATCACAACCTGGTTAGTTCTTTGGTGATCCCACAGCTGGTTCTTTCATTTTATGGCGTGCTCACTTGCTATTTGTCTTTGAATGAGCAATCTTCGTAATTTATTTCCTGTATCGCCCTTGCAAGAGGATAACTCATGTGTGGTCTCCCTTTGTTTTATGCAATGTTTAGGTGCAACGTTGGCTCCGAGAACCGGCACAGATCTGTTGATGGATATTCTATCAATTGGAACACCTTCTCCTGCACAAAACAGCACATCATCTGTTGATTTATTATCAACAGCTGACGTAAACAGTAATCCCTCAATTGCGCTAGACACACTTTCTTCACCAGCTCCACCTCACGTAGCAACGACTTCGTCCAACGGTATGTTTGATTTGTTACATGGTCTTTCTCCAAGCCCATCGAAGGAAGGTAGGGAAAAGTCTTAACCTGAAAAAAAATCTGTATAATCATTGAAACTCTTTTACGAAAATCAAGAACAAGTTTTCCTCCTTATTGCAGCCACCAATGGTCCAGCATATCCACCAATTGTTGCATACGAGAGCAGCTCCTTGAAGATTGAGTTCACCTTCTCAAAGGCACCAGGGAATCTGCAATCGACAAATGTCCAAGCTACTTTTACTAATTTATCTCCCAATACTTTCACAGATTTTATATTCCAAGCTGCTGTTCCAAAGGTCATTTCATCTCTCTTCTTTTTTGCTTTTTCCCCCTTTATTCATCTTTCCCAATTGATCAAGCACTATCTGTCTTAACAGCTGTCCAGTATTTCAAATTTTTCTTTAACCTTCTCTTTCTTTTGGGTAACTTCCAGTTCCTCCAGCTGCACTTGGATCCAGCTAGCAGTAACACACTCCCGGCAAGCGGTAACGGTGCCATCACGCAGAATCTAAGAGTCACTAACAGCCAGCACGGGAAGGTATGCACATTCTCTGTTCGTCTTTCTATAAATTTATGTCTTCAACATTCCGTGCTCAGCATTGAAGAATAGCACTTGATGATCCACATCATAATCTATGCTCAAATAAAGATAGGCTGAGGCCTGTGGATTCAGTGACTTAGCACTCAAAGGGTTTAATGTTTATGGCAGAAATCCCTTGTGATGCGCATGAGGATTGGGTACAAACTGAACGGAAAAGATGTATTAGAGGAAGGACAAGTCAGCAACTTCCCTCGCGGGTTGTGAAACTGATCGATCAGCCATTGTATTTTCAGCAGAAGGACTTGAGTGTTTCTTTTCATCAACCCGACTAAAAAAAGAAAGACAAGTCTAGCCCAAGCCGTTGATGCAGCAAAAGCAGCTTTCTCCTTCCAATTTTTTTCATCTGTTTCATGAAACAAGTACTTTGGCCTTTGTTTGTGATTTGAGGTTCTTGGGGTTTCTTTTTGTACAAAAGTTTTGATGTTTGGAATCGGAAAGCGGTCAAGGAAGAAGAGTTTGTCTCTCTTGTGTCTAAGACTACAAAAAAAGATGTGATTCATAAACCATGATGTATCTACTACAGTTACAATTTTCGTCTTGTAATAATAAGCATTAGATTTTGCAGCATGTCGTAGTTTGCATGTATTACAATAAGTCTTGCATGATCAACCAACACACGTCTCTTAATTGAAGGCAATTCTAATTTTCTGATAGAAACATTCGAAAATGTGTTATATGTGAGTTTTACCATACGGTGGATGTTCATTTGATTTTGTTGGATATGATTTTGAAGACAACTATGGAGATCATCGATCAATGTTTTTATACCCGATCTAGACGGTGAACCAGACTACCTTGTAGATCTGCGGGTCACTTGGTCAACCAGGTTCGACCATGATTAGTTTAATGTTTTTAATATTTATAGAGATTATATAATTTTATAAAAATAATCATATCATGTTTAACAAAATATGAAGTTTAACAATAATCTTAAAGATTAAAATTTTTAAATTCAACTAAAATTGTAAAAAATACCAAGATAGTAGGATAATTAATATGAAAAACTGAAAAGTTCTAAAAATAACTGAATAGTGAATACAATAAAGTTTAAAACTTTATATTTTATTCCAAAATCAAATATAATTTTTTGAATGGATACCCGGCCGGTTCAACCGTTCATCAGGTCATTGGTTAATGACATGTTTCAGTGGATTTTCTCGTTTTGAAATTATCGGATATTAGCACTAAATCTAAGAAGTGTCGAGATCACGAATTAACCAGTTAGACCAGACAGATCGGGTCGAACGTGAAACAGTGGATAAATGTGAAAAAAAGAATTGATTTTTTTTTTTTGGTGAGGAACAATTATTTTTGAAGAGTTAATTTGTCTAGTAACCAAAATGGAGCCTTAAATTAAACATATGACGTTGGTACTTAAATAGCTGAGGAATACAGCTGTGCAGACGATTTTACCCTTATCATTCTAATTTAGAAAGTTCCAGGCGGTGAGAAAGACAGAGAGAGAGCCCGCGAAGGACATTTAGAGTGAGATGGAGAGTGAGAAAGTCCGGTGTTAAAACCGGTTCACCTGAGAAGATACAAGAGCCGGCGGCAAAGACAAACTTCAACTTTCAGTCATGTCAAATCCGGAAGTGAACAAACTTCTCCACAAGCTTGAGCTTGAAAAACTCTTGGGAAAATCTGAGGTGTGCTCTCTGTGTTTGTTTCGATGTGTTTTAATCTGAGATGAGTTTGCGGTTCTCTGTGTTTGTTTCCATGTGTTTAATTTGAATTGAGTTATAGATTCTGAGGTGAGTTTGAGATGAGTCGAGGATCAATTTTTTCCTATTTGGAGCACAATTCGTAGTCTGGTTTTGATATTGTTAATGGATTTATCTAAGATTATATAACTTCTTGTTTGTAGGTTAAATCTATCTGCGACATCGAGCTCATATGCAAACATCAACCTGAGCTTAGATCTAAGATCATTGATGTTCTTGTCAAATACCTAAATACTGGTACTTTGGTTATTTTGGTTATTTATCCTTAATGTACTTATTCTGCTTTCACCATTTGACTCATATGATCAAAATAGAGAAACCGGTGGAGTCTGATGCTGTGCAAGAGGTTTTTATGGCGATGTTTCATCTAGATAAAGAAGGTAATTTGATTTCTTCTGCATTCATCTTCATTGTCTGAATTGTATGAAAGGGTGAGCATCATAGCATCCACTTATGTGTCCTTTCTTACTTTCTTGGTGTAGCATCTTTGACTGCAATGTTGAAGCATCTTGCTGATTTAAAGGTTAGAGTCTTTTCTTTATCTTTTTTGTTTTATTTTCTCTATTTTTGAGGCTAGCTCTCTGTTTAACTTGGTACGAAATGTTCTGCTAAATGAATTGAAATTTTTAACAATATGTACTCATGTAGGTGCCCTATTTTAAGGAGAGACCGTCATTTAATGAATTGGCATTATATATAACCAATTTAACGAAAAGACGTATATCGGATATACTAGAAAAGGTTTGGAATTCATATGTTCTTCTTTGTTTCTTTACATATGTAAATCTTTCCGTGGCCATTTTCTGATTTTCTTCCCATGTTTGCAGAGCCTACAAAAGGAAAGTGAAGCAGAACTGCAACGACTTGCAGAATATTTTGAAGTAAAGGCTGGTTTGGATACATTTGATGTGAGTATTTCATGTGACGCTCCCAAACTATTAGTTTCTGAATTCAAAACGTCATGGTTTCTGAAGCTTTCATTTAGATAGTTTCATTGTTGTGCCCCCAAACTACTTCTGATGTCCACCAAATATTACTTTCCCTGTAGGTTTCAGATGCAGATTATGTTGACAGGTTTATATCATGCCTGCTAATGGCTGTTCCATTCTTTGCGGTATGGACTCAGATTTATTGTTGCATACCACTTTTGGATGTCAAATAGTTAAAAAGATGCTTTGAGAACCATAAATCTTACGAACTGTCTTCTTTTTAATAGAGAGGTGCTCCAAGGAGCAAGTATTTTGAGTTCGTGAACCGTCACCATATCTTGCATGATTTTGACAAGGTACAACATATCTTAATATTTTATTTTCTGTTAACGTGCTTGAGACAATAATTTTGTCTGTACATGATCTCTTAGTATTCTCTTGGGCATAGTAGGAATAGACTACTAGTTAATGGCGTTTAGGGCAGGAAGTCAATTCTTAATTACTATCAACTTGCATGCAACTCTTTTTGTTCTTACATAATACTGTCCCTTGGCTATCTTCGTCCTTTTTTAAATAGTAAAATCTATATTATTGCTCCAGACATGAGCTCACTTAGTTATAATCATAATCTATACCAAATCCTTTTATTACTAGCTGTCAGAGCATAGGAAGCTTGATTTTCTCAGAGCTCTTGCTGAGATTTCATCTTTCACAACAAATGAAGCAGCAGGCCAGATGATTCCCTCAATAGTTGTCCTCTTAAAGGTGACTTTAACCATAACTGATACATTTCTTTTACATATTTATGGACTTATGTAATTTATTGATTATCAATTATTGACTGTTGTCATTTTCTCGCAGAAATACATACCCGAGACAAAGATGGAGGAATTCATAAGTATCACATATATTGAGTGCCTATTATATGTGCTCCATCAATTAGCCATTAAGGTTGTTTTCTAACTATATTTAGTTTTTTTCTAACTATATTTAGTTGTTTGGCCAAGTCTCTTTGTCTTTCTTGTAACTTATGTGTTTTTGTTTAATGTATAGGCTCCAGCTGCAGCAACACAATGTTGCAACAAAGAATTCATGCTGAGGTAATGTGAATTTTATTACTGTGACATTCTATTTTCTTCTTATAAGAATTTGTTATTGGTATTTTGCTTCAACATCCTGCATTAATAAAAGAATAATGTTGTTGCAGATTGGATTGTGTTAGATCTATAACTCGGGCAAAAATGAAGATACTAGCCACAACCTTGCCTAAGGATGATGAAAGGGTTTTGGAAGCTGAGACATTCAGTGAGAAAGATGTATACGCGATGCAACGTAAGTTCAAGTACGAAACAAAGAGGCAAAGTACGAAAACTGAGCTTCGGAGCTGCAATAACGTACTGGCCATTACCAAGGTTGCAAACATAGTTATATCTTTTTCATCTTTTCTTCCCTTTTTATATAGGTATCCTATAAATCTGATTATTTATGAAGCTACTTATACAAATCTAACAGTCTATGCATGTTACAGTTATTGAAGAAAAAAAAGCATGGCTTTGTCAAACTTTCTTGGAAAGAATCTAAGAAGGCATTGTTAACATCATATAGGTATAAACCCAATTTATTGTCAACTTGGTGAGTTCTCTTTGTCTTCTCACATGACTCATCTACTTCTTTTATTTTATCTTCTCAGAGACAACTCATGCCAGAGAGTCCCTAAAAGGTCTGACGCGCTTGACTCAGTTTCAAAGGATTGTAGGCTAGACCTAGATGAAACAGGAATATGCAATCTAAGCGAGAAGCAAGTTCAAAATATTCTGGATTATTCAAATTGTCAAGAAGTTTCTGGTAATCGAAAAGGTGCATGTGTGTTAAATGACAATGGCGGCATCGCTATGCTCAGTTATCAAATGAGAAAACCGGTAAACATTTTAAACTCTTATTTTGCGAAGATCTAATCATATTCCCAATATATGTTCCTATATGGAAGCTTAACTTTCTTCATTTTACCTAAATCTTTTTTGATTCATATAATATGTAGGACTTATTCCTAACTAACGCTGGGAAAAAGGGTATATCGGGGGAGGTTAGAAATCAATTTTATCACCTTCTCTGCTGGATCTACGCAGCCTCTGATCTAGTCAGTTGCCAGAGGTTGGTACGAAAGTGGGAAAAAAGGTGGCTTCCTCTTTGTCCTTGGTATCTCTGTGCGTTTTGCGATCCTGCAAAACTTGGAAAGGATGAGAGAGCTCAAGAACGGGATAAGGATGGTCGTGTACATCACTGCTATGGAGGCGATATAGAGAAAGCTTTATGCCACGTTCAATCTTATGGAGTTCCAAGAGAACTTGTGAGCAAATTTCTTTGTACAGATCATCATCCACCAAGTGCAGAGGAACCTGACATGGAAAGAAGAAAGCTTATAAGTTCTCGAAAAATCCACACTTGGAAGGATGTTGTGCAGACGCTTCAAAAGCAGCAGTCAGTGGGGGCAGATTTGCTTCATTACACTGGATTGATGACACCAGGTGAGTTTATTTACAGAGGTCCCATGTCACGAAATAGTTGGTTCGTCGGATATCACGCTGTAGTGATAGAAGAGATTAAGAAAATGGGTCAAGAGTGGGTTGCTGTTTGTAAAATGAGCAACAGGGATGAAGCGGCTGATTATGGATACGCTTATGTATCTCTAGAAGTCCAGTACATTCCTGTTGGTGCATCCGATCTGGGAAGCGACTTTGTTCGAGGTTCAAGAAAGCCAACCTATCTCCTTTCCAATTTCATGATCGTTGAGATGGTTGAGGCCGATGAAAAAGACAAAGAGGATGCAGAGAGTGGGGATGAAGAAGAACAAGATAAAGATACAAAAGATACTGAAAAAAAGTCAAAGGAGGAACCAGAAAAAGAACGAAAAGAAGAACCCGAACAGAAATATACTCCTAAACCAAAAAGAAGTCGTACTGAAGATCCAACAATGGTGAGCATCACAGTGGCAATTCTCACTTCATCGTTTGCTCCATGATTAATATGCAGATGCTTTCACCTTAATTGAATTCTCCCTCTTTTGATACCGGTCTTGGTTGTCATAGTTAGTGTTTATGTGTGGACATCTTTTGAGTTCAGAGTCAGGGATCTACTAACGGATACTTTGTTATCCTGGTTCTTTGATCTTTATTCCAGTTGGTTTCATGCTATTGTAGGTGGCAACAAAAACTGAATCAAACAAAAACGCAGGGAATGCGGTACTCTATGAGCGTGTTGAAACAATCATGGCCATTGAAGACACCAATAGCTTGCGTGTGCTTGCTATCAATATCTTGGGAAGATTCTTATCTAACCGCGACAATAACATCAGGTTCAACCCCCTTCACCTCATTTTTTATTTGATATAATCATATTTTTTATTTGATATAGTCATATGGTATTATATGTTTATAATTGAACTACCTTGCTTGTATTTTTCTTCCGTCAATCATCTTTCTTTGGACTTTCTTGACTCTATGAACCACACTATGCTCTTCTTACCAACCAGCGTTTCCTTCTTACCAATGGTAATTAAACAGTTCTCTAAAATTCAATGGCAGGAGAATTAAAGACATAATTGTGAAGCAGAAAGGAAGCCTTCTCCTTGAAATGCAGCAGAGAGCTAATGAGTACAATTATATAGTTGGCCGGCATAAAAATATCAGGTGGTTAATGAAATCCCTTGTTCCTCTCTTCCTCATCCATCTTCTAGTGTAAGTTTTTCATATTCTCTCTCCCTCAAAGCTCATGAGAAAGGTCTGTGTGCATACAGGACTTCTCTGGTTGAGAGAATGCGGGTACTGGATGAGGCTACTTTCAATGTGAGGAGGGCTGGCTCTTTTCTTGCATCAATGGCTAAGACTTCAGTTAGCCTTCCAAATGGTGGTGAGAAACCTGCTGTGGACTTGCTAGACCTGGATTCTGACGATATCCTGGCTGCACCTAGTTCATCTGGTGCAGATTTCTTTCAGGGTCTTCTCGGTGTTGACTTGGGATCATCGTCATCACAATCTGGTGAGTTCTTTGGCGTTTCTAAAACGGTTGCTTTCTTTTTATGGCGTGCTCACTTGCTATGTGTCTCTGAATGAATGAGCAATCATTTTTAAAGTTATTTTCCTTGCAAGACGATAACTCATGTTTAGTTTTCCCTTTTTGTTATGCAATGTTTCAGGTGCAACCGGCACAGATAGGTAAATTGGATTTTCTTCTTTCATTTTCTCGTTTCTGTTTCAGGTTTCTTAGTGGTTGATCAGCTTACAGATGAAATTTGATATAACATGATGTAATTGAGCTCGTTCATTTGAGGATTGAATTCTGATTTAAGTTTTTTGATTGGCCTTATCCGAAGATGAATTTGGTATAAGTGTTTGTGATTCCCTTAGAATTTTATTCAGACCAAGGATTTTAGTCTAAGAACATGATCAAACTAAGGATTTTGGTAATCTTTTTGCTTATTTTACTGAATATTGGATTGGTTATGTTGCTGTTGTGGTTTTAAAGTGAAAGTCTGTTTAGTTTGTATTAATTATATATGATTCTGAAGTTATGGGGGATATGTGAATATGATTCAGGGACATGATCCTTGCCATAAAAGCATGCAAAACAGCTGCGGAGGAACAAGCTGTTGTAAGAAAAGAGTGTGCCGATATCCGAGCATTAACTAATGAAGATGACCCGCACGATAGGCACCGGAACCTTGCTAAACTCATGTTTGTACACATGCTGGGTTACCCGACACACTTTGGGGAGATGGAGTGCTTGAAACTAATTGCATCTCCTGGGGTTACAGAGAAGAGGATTGGATATCTTGGGCTAATGGTGCTTCTTTATGAGAGACAAGAAGTGTTGATGCTTGTCACAAATTCAATAAGACAGTATCCTTACTAATTCCTAGTGTTAAATAACATAGAACACTTGATTTTTGGTTGCATTGCTGTGATGGGAATTAAGGAGTGAAAAATATCGTAATAGGTTTGTTTCTGTTTAACCTTAAGTCATGTGCAGAGATCTTAATCACTCGAACCAGTATGTTGTAGGACTCGCTCTCTGTGCTTTAGAGAATATTCGTTCAGCAGAAATGGCCCGTGATCTTGCGCCAGAAGTAGAAAGATTAATCCAGTTTCGTGACCCTAATATCCGAAAGAAGGTGAAGTGTTTTCTAATTCATATACAGGGTCTCCTCGTCGCTGTTTTTTTTGTTCCTTCATTGCTTTTACCATTAACGTTGTATCATATGCAGGCGGCGCTTTGCTCTACTAGAATAGTAAGAAAAGTCCCAGATCTTGCAGAAAACTTTGTAAACGCTGCTGCTTCCTTGCTTAAAGAAAAGCATCATGGGGTTCTTATAACAGGAGTTCAACTTTGTTATGAATTATGCACGATTACTGATGAAGCCCTAGAGTACTTCAGATCGGTAGGTCAATAAAATCATACAGACCACTCTCACTCTACTTATGCATACAGGAGCATCGGCGTAATGTGATTGAATATGCTTCATTAAACATGCGTGCATGTGCTCTGCTATATTACCTGTATGATGCTTTTGTGTACTATATTTCTCCTGCAACAAACTTTGATATCTGTGGTATTCAGTTAGATATAGATCACTCTGCTGAAATGAGGAAGACAATCAGGTTGATTTTTTTTGTTTTATCAGACAGTCAGTTTTGACAAACCCTTGTCTTTGTTTTGTCTCTGCAGAAATGCACGGAGGGACTGATAAAAACTTTGAGGGATATTACTAATAGTGCATATCAGCCTGAGTATGATGTTGCAGGGATCACAGACCCTTTTCTCCACATACGGTTGCTCAGGCTCTTGCGTGTTTTAGGCCAGGGTGACGCTGATGCTAGTGATTTGATGACTGATATACTTGCCCAGGTTAGTCATAGTTTAGCAAGTGATTCTGGATATGGTTGACCATCTTCACATTTGCGATGTAATTCCTTTGGTAAACATCAAAGTTTTATGGTTTTTGTTTCCAGTTGCCTTACATATACTTTTTCGGAAATATATTGTAATGATAAAAAAATGTTGTAAGGTAGCTATGCTCTTTCATGTGCTGGAACTGATTCTGTGAAATTATAGCATAGTGGAGAAAGAATTTCATTTAGGGTTGATGGGCTATTATTCTCTATGGTAGATACAAGACTTATTGGGTACTGAGTTTTCCCCTTACTTGAATTCTCCCTCTTTTGATACCGGTCTTGGTTGTCATAGTTAGTGTTTATGTGTGGACATCTTTTGAGTTCAGAGTCAGGGATCTACTACCGGATACTTTGTTATCCTGGTTCTTTGATCTTTATTCCAGTTGGTTTCATGCTATTGTAGGTGGCAACAAAAACTGAATCAAACAAAAACGCAGGGAATGCGGTACTCTATGAGCGTGTTGAAACAATCATGGCCATTGAAGACACCAATAGCTTGCGTGTGCTTGCTATCAATATCTTGGGAAGATTCTTATCTAACCGCGACAATAACATCAGGTTCAACCCCCTTCACCTCATTTTTTATTTGATATAATCATATTTTTTATTTGATATAGTCATATGGTATTATATGTTTATAATTGAACTACCTTGCTTGTATTTTTCTTCCGTCAATCATCTTTCTTTGGACTTTCTTGACTCTATGAACCACACTATGCTCTTCTTACCAACCAGCGTTTCCTTCTTACCAATGGTAATTAAACAGTTCTCTAAAATTCAATGGCAGGAGAATTAAAGACATAATTGTGAAGCAGAAAGGAAGCCTTCTCCTTGAAATGCAGCAGAGAGCTAATGAGTACAATTATATAGTTGGCCGGCATAAAAATATCAGGTGGTTAATGAAATCCCTTGTTCCTCTCTTCCTCATCCATCTTCTAGTGTAAGTTTTTCATCTTCTCTCTCACTCAAAGCTCATGAGAGAGGTATGTATGCATATACACTAGGTCTTCTCTGGTTGAGAGAATGCCGGTACTGGATGTGGCTACTTTTAATGTGAGGAGAGCCGGCTCTTTTCCTGCATCAGCTTCAACAATGGCCAAGCCTTCAGTTAGTCTTCCAAATGGTGTTGAGGAACCTACTGTAGCTCCTCTTGTGGACTTGCTAGACCTAGATTCTGACGATATCCTGGCTGCACCTAGTTCATCTGGTGCAGATTTCCTTCAGGATCTTCTCGGTGTAGACTTAGGATCATCGTCAGCACAATGTGGTTAGTTCTTTGGCGTATCTACAGCTGTTGCGTTCATATGGCGTGCTCATTTGCTATTTGTCTCTGAATGAACAATCGTTTAAATTTTTTTTCCTCTATTACCTTGCAAGAGAATAATTCATATTTGGTCTTCCTTTTTTATGCAATGATTCAGGTGCAACCCAGGCTCCAAAAGCTGGCACAGATCTGTTGCTGGATATTCTATCAATTGGAACACCTCCTGCACAAAACAGCACACCATCTATTGATTTGTTATCAACATATTCTGAACAGGTAGCTCTTTCTTTTCTTATGTTCGATTGATTGCAGTCCTCAGTAGAATATTTCGTAATATTGGTCTTTGAGGTCTCCACCAGGATACCCTTCTGCGAGTGGCGATATGGTGCATTGGGGAATATGGTGATCTGTTGGTTAACAATTTGGGGATGCTTGGTATTGAAGATCCAAAAACGGTGAGAATCACACTTGCAATCCTAACAATGTATTTTTAATTATGCAGATGCTCTTGGTTTTTGGGATTTCTCTTTGACTTAAAAAAAAAGCGTGCAATGACTAGTTAACTGCCTTGAACAGGTAACGGAATGTGATGTAAGCTCGTTGCTTGCATCAGTTTCAACAATGTCCAAGCCTTCAGTTAGTACTCCAAATGGTGTTGCCGCAGCTCCACTTGTTAACCTGGATTCTGAGGATATAGTGGCTGCAACTAGCTCATCTGGTGCAGATTTCCTTCAGGATCTTCTCGGTGTTGACTTAGGATCATGTCAGCACAATCTGGTTAGTTCCTTGGCGTCTCTATAGGTTTTGCGTTCATTTTATGGCATGCTCAGTTATGATCTGTGTCTGAATGAGCAAATCTTTTTTTTAACTTTTCCTCTGTGGCTTAAAACTTGCTTATGATTTGTATTTTTTCACATAGGAAATCGACCTGCAAAGAGTCATCAGTTTCTGAACAAATCAATTAATTTGAAGTATTCTCATAGGGTGGTGGTGGCCGTTGCAGAGGCTACTGGTCATTTTCTCTCAAAGGATTCTCTCTGCCACTATTGGTATAATAGAGTATTTTTGTCTTTCTGCCCGTACAAGTATTTGTTGGCATTCAGGCTCCTTAATTATCACTTGATAAACAAATTAATCTCGATGCAATCTCTTTGGGTTTTCAATTTGTCGTTATGATATCTTCCTTGACGTGGTTGTGGTAGTAGATTCCTGGGTTCGTTCAGATGTAGGGATTTGTCTAGGAATAAATGGGAAATGAAAAGGAAAACAAAATGATCCTCCTATTGATAAATAATACACTGCAGATAGATTAACTTATTGTATTACAAAAAAAGCGTAACACACTAAAAAGAAACCAAAAATCAAAGAATCCAAACGCACAAAATAGCTTAGTTTATTATCTGATCCACATGTTCAAAATGGATCTTAACATCACGCAGACGCCCATGTATACAAAACGCCTAGCCGACACAAGCTTGCTTTTTACAATCCTGGGACTCTTCTCCACTCTTGAGAGCCAGAGAACGCTTTTTGATATATTGACCACCACAAAGCTTACCCTTGAGAGTCAAGTATCCTGTATGATTCATGACTCTTCTAACTATAGCTTGGCGTTCAACATGCTCACCATTCTCAAAAACCCGCCGAGGGGCTCGAGGCTCTGCCAAGCCCTTAAACGTTATGTAGACATGTGCACTTTTGGCCTTGAGTCTCTCATTCGGCGGCTCCACATCTTCATTAGCAGTTTCTATCGCCACTTTCACAATCTCCAACTGGGACAGAACTTCGGTCTTCTGACGCGTCTACAATTTTGGAGTTCATTATTATTATTATTATTATTACCAGTAGTGCCAGTGGTATGTCAGTAATTGATATATATGTAAAACTTACTTCAGTGATCGACCTATCAGTTGTAGTAATTACAAGTTCCAAATACATAGAAATCCAATCAGTGGATTGCCACTCTGATTCCTTCACCTGCAAAAGCAATAACAACATATCACTGCTAGCTTAATTGATCATGAGCTAGCTAGCATGCACCAAAAAAGAAACTTAATTTAGTGTTGTGTCATAATATATATAGGGCATCTTACCAGGTAAAATCGTTTTCCGTCATTGAAAGCATCATCTGAGGGCCAGTCAGGCAATTCACCTTTGAAGATACCATACGCCCGTGCGCCACCTTGAAAGTGAGGTATGAAGGGCGTTTCGGTGGACACTATGCAACATTCATTATTAATCAGCAAGCTAAGTGAAATTTTATAAAAAAAATATAAAGAAAATAATGCACCACAAGCAAGTTACCTTCGGCTTTAATCCTAGCAATGGAGCACGTTATATGCAAAGTGCCATAATCTTGTTCATCAACTCGAACCTGAAAGGTTTTCTGCAATGAGCTAGCAGCTGGATCTGAGTCGTGTGCAAGCAGAGTCATGTAGAAAGAGGACATATAGTTCTGTAACATGTTGAATTTCATTAGGGTATCGACCTCGAAGCTTGTTCCCTGACAGATGAAGGAAGAAAATCGAATCAATCAATGTGGTATATATGACAGAGCATATATTTATAACATACCAACTAGAGGAGACAAAGAGTTAAATCTTTACCTTGAACAAATTGTAACGATGAAGCCCAACCTTAGCAAAAAGGTCGACCAAGATACGATACGGATAACGCTTATAAAGTTGACAGTCATAGGGAATCAGTCCAATGACCACTCCATTCATACCTGGTGGTCGTTTAACGTTCTCTAAATCGAAACCCTAAAGATCCACCAGCAAAAAAAAAATCTATCAGTCCTTATAAACAACCCTACAAGCGATCAATTTCCTCTAATTGTTGTCTAGAAGCCATTAAGAACTCAGGTTTAGGGTTAATTTTGTGAAACAAAAGGAACAAATCACAATCATAGATAACAAATAATTAAGAAGATGAAGGAATTACATCGGATTTCGCCGCTTGACGCCAAAAGTCTCTCTGTACACTGTAACCCTCCTCCCCCGGCGAAAGAGACTCCTCCTCCGTCGTCATATTCTTCTCGTCTTCGTCGTGGTGATGCTTTGGGATCCATTCCAGGCGATACATTTATAATAATATCCCATCCGATGGATTCATTTATGGGCTTCAGTTGGGCCTTCTTAACCCAAATCTGATTTATAATTTATGAAAACGAAAACAATACATTCATACGTTTTTTGTTTTCTTTTTATGACTACAACAAATATGAATTAATGTTTTAACTAGAGACAGCTTGTCCAAGACATGCATGTATCTTATACGGCCTTTGCCTTTGGATTCTTCTCCTGCAATTTCCCATCCGAGTGTAGCGTTTTCACAACATGGACCTTTCTAATTTTGACATTGAATTATTAAACTTAGGCCTATATGGATCCAAATTAACTTTTGGTATTATAGTCGCGTTTCTTAACCCATGCATAAAATTATTGTGTCACTTATAACTAAAAGAAACCCTTTATTATTGGTCTACCAGGTGTGAGTGTGTGCCATGTATACATTACGTATATATTTATTATATAGCAGCACGTTCATTTTGTGAGAAAAATGGGAAATGATCAGGAGAGTTTGATAAGAATATATGCAAATTAATTTGGAAGTACATAAACAAGTTGAGGTTTAATATATAGCAAATAGTCCAACTGACACATAAACTGACAGATTCGATCGTGTAAGCATCAATAAATTATTTAATGATTGGGATCTATTACCGAAATGTGGTGAGTACTATATTTTGTGCTTCGACCAGGACGATGACCTTATCACTTGATTATACGATGGTCTTGAAATTTGAAAATTTTGATAAATTTAGAGGAAATTTTAGTAGTATAATAGTTTCTCTCACTTTTATTGATTAGCTTAATAGCTTATTTATACAAAATTATAACTTGATTAGCAACTTCTTTATATTATGATAATTAGAAATCTACTTATTTAACAATAAGAAAATATTCTACAAATGTTAACCTTTTTACAAATCGATCTCGTAATCTCCGAGATCTCCTAACAAATTCTAAGAATTAGCAGCTTTTTTAACCGATCAAAAACAATCACCACTTTTAATTAAAGCGGTACAAGTATATATATTCTTTATAAAGATGGTACATGCAAACTCCACGACTAGCCAAGGATTAGGCCTCCCAATCGTATTACCGATAAGGCGATAACTCTATGCCTATCACAAAAAGTTTAGGTTTTTTCTTTGTTTTATTTACTAGTCCAACCAATGGCGTTGGTGGCTTTTACGTGCTGTGACATTCAAGTAGCCGTTGTCGACATCTCGGAATCAATTTGAATCTCTAGAAAAGTGAGGCCTATGTATCGTATACGTATATTCTAAATATTGATGGTGTGTCACACTAAAATCATATATCGTATGAATTTGAATAAAATTGACACAAATAAGATGAATTTAACACAACATAGTACTAAAATATGCCATGCTGAATAATTAAAGTTTATCGCGTTAAGTCTCCCACAACATTCGAAAACAATTCTCCTAAACCAAAAGTCTAATGTTAAGAAACAAAGAGAAAAACTTTTTGTCTCACCTGAGAAAAAAAATCTCATCAAATAAATACTTTTGGTTAGATTTGTTACAACTACGATCTTATAGTACTTCCATCAAAGATATCTGGATGGAGTTCTCACACATTAAAAAAATATTTTATATTATTATTTGGGGGTACATAATTGAAAGTAAGATTACCATTTATAAGTAATTACATAAGAATGTCATTGGTGATAAAATTTCAAAAATAAAATAATTCATCTCATTAAAGATAAACAAGTAAAATACTAAATTTTGAAATTTAATTAACTTAATTAAATTATAAAAAGAAAAATACATTATTAATTTTAAAAAATGAATGACCAATCAAAATGAACATATAAGATTCGATATCTAACTTACCATATTAATTTGTTAGTAATCATTATACTTCACCTCTCATCTTTATATGATTCTATTTTTGTGAAACAAATAAATCATCATATCATCCATATAATAAAAAAATTAAATTTATTATTTAACATAATAACATGTAGAATTACTTGACATTTAAAACTAACTAGGTAGTTTACATGCAATATGCATGGGGTTAAATGATTATTAAGTAAATATATTATAGTTTTAATTACAAATGCATTGTATTATGATCCAAAATCTGAAATATTATGAAACATTTGATATAAATTTTTATTCAATTCAAATCAATGATGTTTTGTATAAATTCGTTTTATCAGTAAAATGATTGAAAACGACAATTTATTTCTAACTTAAATAAAATACAATCATATGCAATTTTTGTGAATAGTTTACTTTGCTTTATTTTTTTTTATTTTTTTTTGTGAGATATATATATATATATATATATATATATATATATATATATATATATAGACAAAATCTGTAAATATTTTAGTAAAGATTAGGTGAACAATCTCTTTAAGAGCGACATGTCATCATGGTAACTTCGTTGATAACATGTGAAAATAAAGTTTTTTTGTAGAGTGTTTCCTGATTAATATATAAGGGATATTACAAATTCATCTTATGGCCAAGCCAGCACCATTCAGCCAGGAGTTGAAATTAACATAAACATATTAGTATATTACTATCTCATAAACAAAAAGAAGCTTAAATTAGTTCATGTAAAAGATAGAGCCCATGGGTAAGTAAAATACCATGGTTACATTTGAAATCGGAAGTTCTTAGCATAATCATCAGTTTCTCGTGAAAGCTAATTAGTGAATTGAGCTAATTAGTGAACGTTTTATGAATGTGACGACAGGTCATAAAACATTCTTTTGGATTACCACTTACAAGTGTATAGATTGACAACAGGTCAAAAACTCGTAAATTAATGTATCAAGGAACATTTTACATATACATAAATGATTAAACTCATTTCTAAAAAGTTAAAAGTATGAAAACTACATTGAAGTATACAGTATC